GGATGGTTTCAGGAAACAAATCGCTTACCTCTGGCTTTACACGCGCTGGCACAGAGGTCTTCTGAGATCCTACTGAGAGTTGGTGTCTCTCAGAGACCACCTCCACCAAGAGCAGCAGAAATAACTTCCAAGATTGGGAGGACCTCGAATCCGGCCACACCCTCTCACGCCTGGTTTCCAATTACCACTAATTAAGAAAGAGCACTTGCCCTTGCCTCTGAGCTGAGCACCTGGGCTCAAATTAGTGGTTTCCCAGCAAAAAGGGAAGGTCCTGGAAAGACTAGCATACCCAACAGATCAACGGGGAAGAGGGCAAAAGTCAATGGCTGTAGGATACCTCTCAGTGGAGTGGGGTAGGAAGTGTGGGGCCACCTAGGAAACTGGGGGCCAGAAGGTGACACTGAATGCTTGGGTTGAGTGTGAAGACAGGTGAAACTAGGAGTGGGAAAGAGAAAAGGGTGTAAGCATAACTCCACCCAACGCCTAGAAGTAATAATAAACCAGAATAGTTACGCTGGAAAAAACTAAACATCAGAAATTACTCAGGGTTTAATTTATGCTCAGAAAAACAACAACAAAAAACATAGAAAAGCAAATGTAGATATAAATGCATGTATGCATGTAAATATGTATAGATGAAAAAGATATAGTATTCAGTCTTTTAATAAGTCTGTATATAATATACAGTCTTTTAAATCTTATCATATATAATGAATGTATACATATATTGATATATATAGATATATAACACATATATCTATATATAGTATATGTATGTCTCTATAGATAGATAGATCATATATACTGAATGTATAGATATCATACCAACCAGACAAATTTTTTTTTAATTTATTTATTTTATTCATACAGAACTGGGGTACAGGCCAGAGATGCAGAGAGTGAGAAGATTCACCAGGGACAGAGTGGGGAGCAGAACAGGCAGAACGACAAAGTACACTGCTGAGGGGAGCAGCGGGCAGATTAGGAGAGGTCTGCCGCGCCATGTGGATCTCCTCCGGGGCAGGCGGGAATCGAACTCAGAGGAAGTGACTTAAGCTTCTCAGGGCAGGGCTTTAACCCGCTGCGCCACCAGGGAGGGCCCAGCCAAACATTTTTTTTTTAAGATTTATTTATTCATTCATACAGAACTGGGGTACAGGCCAGAGATGCAGAGGGTGAGAGGATTCACCAGGGACAGAGTGAGGAGTAGAACAGGCAGATAGACGAAGTACACTGCTGAGGGGAGCAGCGGGCGGGTCAGGAGAGGTCTGCCACGCCATGTGGATCTCCTCTGGGGCAGGGATCGAACTCATGCGGAAGTGGCTTAAGCTTCTTAGTGCTGCACTTAACCGGCTGCGCCACTAGGGAGGGCCAGCCAAACATTTTTAATAATACATTATAGAAAAGGAAATGAAGTAGAAATGTACACAAGCTTTTAATTCTAAAATTATAAGAATGAAAGACCCTGAGAATGTTTTTCAGTTCCCAAATGTAACTGATACACTAAGGAATTCAGAGAAATTTGAGTCATGAGTAAAGAGAGATGTTGAAAAGGCATCTATCAATATGGGTATAATCTCTGAAACTGGAGTTTTGATTGTAGGAGCCAAGAAAATTTTACCAAGAATTAACTGGAGGAAATGAAAATAAAAACTTAAGAAAACTATTTTAGGATTCCTAACTAAAGTAGGTCATTCTCAAGAGTCCCAGAACTGGGCCCTCCGTGGTGGCGCAGCTGGTTAAAGCACAGCACTCAGAAGCTAAAGCCACTTCAGCATGAGTTCGATCAATACCCTGGGAGGTGACCACATGGCGTGGCAGATCTCTCCTGATCCCTGCCCACTGCTCCCTTCACCAGTGTACCTCGATGATCTGCCTGTTCTGCTCCCCACTCTGTCTCTGGTGAAGCCTCTCACCGACCCTGCACCTCTGGCTTGTACCCCAGTTTTGTATGCATAAATAAATAAATCTTTAAAAAAAATTTAAAAAAAAGAGAGAGAGAGAGAGACCCAGAAATGAAATGGAGAATGATGCTACTTCATAACTATCAGAGCTTCTCAGCAGAGGCCCCAGGCTGAGCGATTGAGTGGTTCATGTCGTGTGTTAACCTGGAACATGAAGCAGCAGTTTGTGAGAGCAGGGATGGCAGCAAGCACAGAAAGCAAGAGCTCGAGGTCTCTCCCTAAATTATGGAAAGATTTCTTAAACTTCCTGATTCCTGTCCTTGAGCACTCCCATTTGGGTATTTTAAATATATATATGTATATTTTGGAGAGGGGGTTACAAGGAGGGGACATTCCCACTGTGTGACAGGATGGCCAGAATTCTAGCCCTTGATCCAGCTGTAGGTGATAGAGCTCACCAAAGAGTCAGTCATGGTCATCTTCAGGGCAAGAACCTTAATGACAATGGAGTTGTTTCTGCCATCACTGTCACAGGCAAAATAAATAAATAAATAAATAAAGATATGACTTAGCAGAAAGAAAGCATACAGCAGCAGAAGAACAACAGAATATCCGGGATCTCTACTTAATGAAGAGAACTAATCTAATAGACAATAGACAACAGAGGAAATATGAGTGATTCTTTTTTTTTTTTCCCTGCCCACCGAAGTCTGACAGAAACAAAATGCACAGTTCTGGGACCTTCTATTATCCTAAGATTGGCTAGATTGGATACTTCACAGGATTAAAGCTGTTCTTGAAAGACAATCCAGACAACCTTTGCAAAAGCTTTAAGGTGTCAAGAGTCATTGACATGGATTAGATTACAGGTGTGATGACCCAACCCATTGTTAGTAAAGCGCAAATAAAGACAAAAATCCATGCTCAATGAGCCTTCCTGGTGACTCAAGGGGTTAAGCTCAGCACTATCAAGCTATCTGTAGCCACTGCAGCAAGAGTTCAATCCCCACCAGGGAGCTGACCCACATGGTGCAGCAGACCCCTCCTGTATTGGCTGCTGCTCCCCTCAGTAGGGTATTTTGTAGAACTGTCTGTTCTTCCCACTCTGTCTCTGGTGAATACTCTCACCACCTCGTCCCTACATCTCTGGCCTGTATCCCAGCACTTGTACACATAAATAAATAAAATAAATCTTTTTTAAAAATCCATGTTATGCACAGCAGTGAGTAAGCCAGCTTCTCTGTGTGTGAAAGTTATTTTTTTTTAAAGATTTATTTATTGATACAGAAGTGGGATACAGGCCAGAGATGTGGAGGATGAGCGGATTCACCAGAGACAGAGTGGGGAGCAGAACAGGCTGACTGACAAAGTACACTGCTGAGGGGAGCAGCGGGCGGGCAAGGAGAGGTCTGCCACGCCATGTGGATCTCCTCCGGGGCAGGCGGGGATCGAACTCATGCGGAAGTGGCCTAAGCTTCTCAGTGCTGTGCTTTAACCTGCTGCGCCACCAGGGAGGGCCCTGAAAGTTATTTTTAATGGGAGATACTATAGCATTAGGGGGGTAGAACCCTGAAACTGGGGGTGGAACGGGGCCAGGTAGAGAGGAGGGAGGCACATAGTGAGGATGGGAGGAGGCACAAAATGGGTGAACAGTGCTAACAAAGCTCAAAGGGACTCAAGTTCTAGAGGCCAAGCAGTGGGTAGCACAGAACCATTATCCTGTGGTCAAAAAAGCTCATAGGGAGAATATTAAAAGAAGCTAGAGAAGTGGGTAAAAGAGAGGAATGGGTGGCCATGTGAGTCCAGAAGTTGAGGCCAGTTTCTAATGACCAGCTATAATTGGAGCTCCACAGACATACTGAAAATCTTTTGATCTATGTGAGCACCATGTAACAATGTGCAATTTAGTGCAAATTAATTCAATTGATAACCACTATTAAGCTCAGAGAAAATTCTGGACAATATGAGTGTTAATACAGAATCAAGATGCTAGCAGTTGCATTATTCTTCAATTATATTCACATTAGGCAATAGAAATGTGAGTACTGTAGAAGAAACAGAAATCTGAAAACAGAAGTTTTGTTTTTGGCACTAAACTAGCTGTACAGCTGGAGAAGAAATACTTTTTGGAGGGGGGTAAAAAGGGGTGCGCTATCATTTTTTCATTTGCAAGAAGAGGACAGTAATAAGAATAGAAAGTGCCTCAAAGCGTTGTGAGTGCTAAATAGGTGATATGCTTTAAAAGATTTTTGCAAAAGTGATCTTTGAAGTATAATACAAACAGGATTGAGCTAAGACTGAAAAACTTCAAACATCTTGTGCAGATGATGCTCATTTAATATTATTGCATTTACATAAATGAGACTCAGAGAGGTTAAGTGACTTGCCCCAAATCTTAAGATCTTATCACTAGTAAACTAAGTAACCAATTAGCTTTTTGTGGCAAATTTGCAACTATAAATTTTTAATCTCTCAACTCCAAAAACAAAAGGAAAATTACCTCAATGGGTATCATCACTGATTATCACAAATTTAAAACGTAAGACAGTGCATACATCCTGATGATTAAAATGGAACACTCTTAACTAGAGTGAGGGACAATAAAAGACTTTAAACCTAATCTGTCCCAGCACTCCAGGGCCATAACTTTGGAAACATTTCTAGAGAGAGAAAATTAAGTAAATTCCTTTTCTGGATGAGATCTTACTTTACAAGTTCAAAAAAAAAAAAAAGCAACAGATGACTCACTGCTCAGTAAACTGAGTCAATTTTTATTGTTTTTTGGTGACCTTTCAAAATAAATATAAACACTGTTTACTTACCCAAAGGAGCTGTGTCCAGTTCATTGGAGTAAAAGTGATGTTACTGTCACAAAACACAATGCAGGTCCCTTAATCCTGCCTCTTTTGATCTCCAAAGGTGGTAACATTCAGTTCGGAGTTCACTCATCTGTAAATTGCATCACGTTATCTCCGAGTTATTTAAAAAGCAAGCTCTGTTTGGTTTCAGGCATTTTAACCTGCTAAAGGCAAGAAGAAGGGTTTGCTACGTAGTTCCAGAGGTTTTCCACTTACCACAGCAGTGGCAGAAGGCAAAATGATCGAACCCATTGGGAATCAGTACATTGAGTCCAGGCCAGTGTATTCTGCAAATTCTTTCGGGGAAGAATATAAGAAGAAACAGCGACGTCATAAGACAATTCTGGATCACCTCAGAGTGTACTGTAGGTAAGATATTTTTTTTACAGTGCTGTCATTTAGAATAAGTGAAGCACTTTCGCCTATATTTTCAAGCTTTCAGTCTCTCCTTTTTGGCTCTAGCCCGTAGCCTTCAGAGTCTTCCTTCTTTGGTTTCCAAACTTCCTGCTCCTGCCAAAGTTGGAGAAGTAGTCTCAAAAGTGAGCATCACCTCAGTTCTTTAAAAAGTAACTTCCATACCCGGGGAAGAATAGGTAAGAATAGAGGGAAATTCTGGAGTGAAATATTGTACATTTAAGCTGAGGATGACAAAATTCTGTTGCAGCTAAAGAAAAAAAACAACATTTTTCTTAAAAAAAAAAAAAATCCTTGGTAGCAGTCAGGGGTAAGAGCTTGCATGTTAATGGGAAGTTTGGTAAAAGTACAAGTTCATTCTTTAATATACGATCCTCCTTACCAGTTTTCCACCTGCAATTAACAGTAAACTTAAAATTGGGTATTATTAAGTAACTTGTTGCTTTCAATGTTTTCAGCTGTTCCACACAAAAGGCCAAGAGAATTGCCCTTTCCTTGTTCCCCATAGCATCCTGGTTACCCGCTTACCGGCTAAAGGAATGGCTGCTCAGTGACATCGTTTCTGGAATCAGTACTGGGCTGGTAGCTGTACTGCAAGGTAAATTTGTTGTAAGCTGTAATGCACATATCATGAAAGTTACCCTTTGAAAATATAAAATTCAGTGTGTGTATAATGTCTATTCACAAGGTTGTCACTGTCACCACTATCTAATTCCACAATATTTTCTGGCCCCCACCCCGCCCCAATCTCTTGCCCATAGCCACTCACTTCTATCTACTCCCTTCAATCCCCACAACTTTTCTGTTTCAGTGGATTTGTCTAATCTGGATATGATCAGTAGAATCATAGAATTTGTGGTCTTTGGTGTCTGCTTTTCACTCACCATGTTTTCAAGATTCATCCACAATATAGCTTGCATACATACTTTATTGCTTTTTGTAGACAAATGTTGTTTTATTGTGGGGATATGCCACATGCTGTTTCTCCATCCTTCACATGACAGGCTTGGGGTTGTTTCCACTTTGTGGCTTCTGTGAGTAATGCTATTGTGAACGCAGTTTTTGAGAAATCATGCATTTCCATTCTTTGGGTGTATACCTGGACTATACTCTCTGAGCTATGAGCCCAGCATAAGGGGGTTCAGATCTGTTTACATATTTGGAGCACTTGTTACTGTCTGCCTTTTGAATTTTAAGTTCCATTTTGAAGTTTGTGGTTTTGACTCATATTTCCCAAATCACTAGTGAGATTAGGTATCTTTTCATGGAATTTTTATTGTCATTTATGTTTTTGAAAAAATGTCTAGTTTAAGCCTTTGCACGTTTAAAAATTGGCTTCCTTTTTTGAGCTGAGTTGCAAGAGTTAGTCACATATTCTGGATACTGGACCCGTCACCAATGTAAGCTGTGCAAATAATTTCCCCCATTCTGTAGGGTATTACTTCATTTTCTTGCTGATATCTTTTAAAGCATACATTTTTAAAAAGTTTATGAAACTCAGTTTATCTGTTTTTAATTTCATTGCTTATGAAGTAGGTATCATTTCTGAGAAACCACTGCCTAACCCAAGATTATGAAGATTTACCCCTATGCTCTCCTCTAAGAATTGTGGCTCTTATCTTTACATCTTTGATATCTCTGAGTTAATAAAGTTACTTATTTTCGAAGTTCAGTCTTAAATATTTGAAGAAGTTAATGTGAACCTGTCTGATTCTTTTAGCACAAAATAAGAACCCAGATGCTTATATATTTACAGGCTTAGCATTTGCCCTGCTGGTCAATGTCCCGCCAAGCTATGGCTTGTACGCAGCCTTTTTCCCAGTCATCGTCTACTTTTTCTTGGGCACTTCGAGACACATATCTGTGGGTAAGTGAATTACAGGACAAATTAACCCGAATGTTGCTTTTGCTTTATTAGCCACACATTGTATCAGTTGCAAATAGTGCAGAATTGGAGAGGAAGTGGCTTCTTGCAAGAATTAGAACTGGGACTTGAAGAAAGAGCACAAAGCTACAGATAAGATTTTTTATATGCTATGTTATGGTTGAAAGACAGTTATGCTTTAGGAAGGCAAACACTGACCCTAATTCACTCTCTGTTAACTAGGTCCATTTCCAGTTCTGAGTATGATGGTGGGAGCAGTAGTTTCGAGATTAGTCCCAGAGGAAAGTACAACTACTCTGAATGCTAATAGCTCCATGGGTAATAGTACTTTGTTACTAGATGAGCAGAAGGTGTTGGTGGCTGCCGCTGTCACAGTCCTTTCTGGAATCATTCAGGTGAGTACTTTCTCATGCATTCTCTCTTCTCCAATCTACTTGTCCTGATGGGTACACATTTTTCTGATTTTTCTTCTTCCTGACACTTGCCCCCATTTCTCCCTATAGTTCATATCCCTCCTTAATGGCTCATGGGAAACAATTTAAGAAAGATCATTCACCATAACCAGAAGTGGAAGGGCAGAACTACCTTGCAAAGACAGGTGAATGTAGGCCTTACAAAGAAAGAAAAATTGGAACAGGGCGTCATGTATGATGAGGAGTGAAATTCTTCATTTGATAAAATAACTAGAACCGACTTTGGCACTAAATGTAACTATATACAAATAATAGAGACAGTGGAGGCTTTGGAACTTTTTTCTTTCTAGTTCCAAGGGACTGTGATTTAGTTGGAAGTTTAGTCTTAGCACTTGGAACAGTGTTAAGAGAAAAAGAAGATTCTGGAGGGGCCTACAGCCTTATTCTTGAGTGACATACTTGATCCTGTTGTCGAGTAGTGGAAATGTCAAGGACTCCTCAAGATGTTGTCTAAGTGTATGGTTAGTGATATTATTGGTTAAGACTACTCTTTAAGGAGAAAAAGATCAGTGTACATATGAATTTAGGAGTTGTGTCCTATTGACAAACAGCGTGTTCAGTTCCTTCTTATATCTGACCTTAGTGATTTGCAATGTCAGTATCTATGGTACCATTAGGGCAATGTTTGTGGAAAGACAGGCAGGAGAATCCACCTATACACTGTATTGTAATATACTGACACTTGGGGCAAATTGACACCCCAGCTAAAACCAAACACTTCAGATGTGCACTGCTCATCTGAATTCTCTTTTTTTGAAATGAAAGTCAAGCACTTGTTTGAGGAAATAGAAATGGATGCACTGCCAACTCACACAGCAGTAGCTAGAAAGTGTAACTTGAAATTTTTTGAGGGCTGATGCTAGATAAGATTCTGCTGTGAAGGTCTATGAGTGAGTCTTCCAAAGATACTGCACCTTAAAGGTGGTGTGTGTAGTAGACTCACAGATTTTTTAAACTCCTTGCAACTCCCCACTATTGGGTGGGAGAGGAGAGGTGTTCCAGGGCACAGACACTTGCTTCTCCAAGATAATTACTTACAGGCTGAACTTTACATATTTAATCATTTCCATTGTTGGCCCTACATTTGCTTAGGTGTTCTAATCTGCAATATCAAAGACCTTTCTTTGTCCCTCTCTTTCCAGTTGATCATGGGTGCGCTACAGTTTGGATTTGTGGTGATATATCTATCTGATTCCTTAATCAGTGGCTTTACCACAGCTGCTGCCGTTCATGTTCTGGTATCCCAGCTCAAATTCATGCTCCAACTGCCTGTCCCTCCACACTCGGATCCATTTTCACTTTTTAAAGTAAGTGATCTTTTAGACTAAAAATTACCGAAATATATAAAATTCATGATCATGTTTCATGTAATGCCTTCGTCAGGGGTCTACCTGAAATTTTCAAGAAATCAATGGTTGTGAAGTTGATTAACTTTAAGAAAAATTTAGTGGCAAAGAAAACAATGACCACATCTAACACACAGTTAATGTGAACAACAGAAATTAAGTACTACTTCTCTTAGATGCGAATTAAGTATTTTTTAATATAATAATTTGCAAATCAAGTATTTTTTAAATAAAAAGATATTTAAGTGTCTTAGTATAAGCTTTCATATTTCATATCCAAAGTGTTAAACTTTTTCTCAAAATCTTCTTTGAAAGAAATTTGCTAATTGAGTCGTAAATGTTTTCCTATTTTCTGAAAGTTAGGTTCTGTTCATTTTGAACTGAGGTTCTTCTGAGTCCTTTGTGCAGCCCAGTTCATAAAGCAAAAGTAAAGTGGCTAATAGGTAAATAGGACTATGGTTCTTTTGGCCCCTACAGGATGGTCTGGGAAAAAAACAATGCTCCAAATTGGAACTGACAATTTCCCACTCCCTTCTAGAGCTACTTCAGAAGCAGAGTGTGCTAGAAAAATTTGAGATCTAGTTTGGACCTGCTTGAGCTATTTTGCTCCCACATATTTGGAACTCAACTGGCTTTAAGAACTAAGATTGCACACAGTTCAGGAAACTTTTCCAAAAGTTAAATGGTCATTTAGACAACTAAGAAATGTGACAGGCTTTAACCTAGAGAAGGCCAGGAGATACAGGCTAAGCAAAACTATCAAGGGACTAAGGTAATTCCCTGGACAAAGCAATAGAGATAACTGTGAAACTTAAAAGGATAGCCAAACGAAGGTGTGAAAAGTATCTAAGAAAATAGTCAGCAAAATACCGAAAGAACCCCTTAACTGGGTGGGGACTCAGAGTCCTCACTTGCCCTCACAGGTCTGAATGCGGGTCTCTGCTACTGTATACTCACGGGCACTGCAGAAGAGCAGAATTGTCAGTTCGCCACAGTATTTTTGTGTCAATGTTTATTTTTTAATTTTTTTTATTTTTTAAAGATTTATTTATTTGTGCATACAGAACTGGGGTACAGGCCAGAGGTTCAGGAGCAGCAAGAGGCTTCACTAGAGACAGAGTGGGGAGTAGAACAGGCAGATCAACGAAGTACACTGCTGAGGGGAGCAGCAGGCGGGTCAGGAGAGGTCTGCCACGCCATGTGGTCCCTTCCGGGGCAGGCGGGAATCGAACTCATGCGGAAGCGGCTTTAGATTCTCAGTGCTGTGCTTTAACCCGCTGCGCCACCAGGGAGGGCCCCAATGTTTATTTTTACCTATTTGAAAAATAATTGTTGTATTCAAATGATGAATTCATATAGGACTTAGGTGTCTTTTGTTTTTGTAATTTTAGGTACTAATTTCTGTATTCTCACAAATACAAGATACTAATATTGCGGATCTTGTGACATCCTTAATTATTCTATTGGTTGTATTTGTGGTTAAAGAAATAAATCAGCGCTACAAAGCAAAACTTCCAGTGCCAATCCCAATTGAACTCATCATGGTAACTGATCATCCTGGGGCTTTCTTTCTTAATTTATTGGGATAGTGAATTTATATTTAAAACACATGTGTAAATCAGGAGACTTTAGGGGAACAGGTAGATGTCATCTCTAAAGTTTCTGGGGATAACGATTAGTAAGGTTTCCTTTTCATTCAGAATTTAATAACTCCCTTTTATGATTTTGCATTTATTCTTTCAATATAAGGCAATAAAAGTACAGAGAGCAAGACCCCTGAGCTTAGTGTGATGGGGCCATTTAATTAGAGCTGTGGTTCTCACATTAATGGCATGTTAGAACTGTATCCAGACTTATAAAAAATGTTGCAAAGTGGGCTTGTGATTCCTGTCAGAGGCCATGGGGTGGTTTTGGCAATGGTGGGTTTTGTTTTTGTTTTTCAAAGCAGGACTCTTAATTGTATCTCACATTCCTTACTTCAACACTTTGTGACTTTGCAGACTGTGATTGCAACAGGCGTCTCCTATGGTTTTAACTTCAAAGAGAGGTTTAACGTGACCGTGGTTGGAGAGATGCCAAGTGGGTAAGTGTGTCTTTTAGGATGGTACTGCCAAGTGCTAATTAGAGAAAGCAATAGTTATGAAAAGCTACAAGTTGAACTGCATGAACACCCATCAGAAACCTCTCTGCCTCTGGTTCTTCTGAGGAAGGCTCCCTGCTCTCCCCCTAGGAAGGACCCACAAAGGATGCAAGGACCCAAAGTTTCCCCTTGTGGAACAACTTACAAACCAGATGAGCAGGGAGTCACGTTTGCAAATAAAAGTGAAACTGTAAGGCAGAAAAAATTGGCAAATTAAACTTGCTTCTCCTCATAAAAGAAAAAACAAATGAAACCACATTTCCTTGTCCACAAGTTACTATAAACAATAGGTAGTGTTTTGTTTGAGGAAACTGGAGCCAAGTTCTTGACAGTTCAAAAGGCAGTCACACACTGTCCTTCCTCATGGTCAAATTCAAAACAAGACCAGATCAATTCTTAGCCCTGCACAAAAGATGGGAAGCCTGATTTATGGTGCCTACATAGAAGATAATAACCCTTCAAAATTAATGTTGGGAAATTATTAACATGAACAGTAATTAAGAAGAATTGTATAGGCTCATTAACCCACTTCTAATTTTAGGTCAGAAATGAATGCCTAAAGGAACTAAGCATTTTAGTAATGATGTTTGATGTGAGGTACTTGGGCTTGAGTTTGGGATAATACAATTAATGACATTATGTAGCTGTTGTAAATTCATAAAGCACATGGACAGAATTATCCTCTGTGAGCTGAAGCTTCTCTGACACTTTATCACTTTAAATGGAAACCCACTCTCCCACGGGGCCACAGTTGACACTAGCAGTTCTGTGGCTAGCAGGGCAGAGTCCATGGCCCACCTGTTTGCGAAGGGTTTTCCCTGGAAGGTTATTGTTATCAACGGAGAGGAGATTCCCTCACTCTCTTTGTGTCAGAATTGTGTTTGCTCAAAGAGTCTTCATCCAGGGATAACTGTTGGAGGTGTTGTGAGCGATGCTTTGAACCCAGTGGAACAATGCCAGGGGCATCTAAAATATTTTTCATGAAGCTTATAGAGATATGTACGCATTAGAATATGATTAAGCTGGAAAATCATATCAGATGTTCCATTATCATTGAACTGGATTTACAATCTTGTATCAAATTTAGACAACACAGCTTTCCAACAATAAGACAATAGATTCCAAAGTTTTCGGTGGTGCTAACTTCTTGCTAGTCACACTCTACAGCGAGACATAAGTCAGCCGAGGTTGCACTCATTCACTGCAGTCCATCCATCCCCCAACAATGATTGATCACTGATACAGACTGAAGTGTGATCATACCTGGTCATGGTTTAATGGACCAGTAGGGTCCCTGTTCCGTGCCTGAGTGGACAATGGGGGAGGGGGGAGGGGCAAAAGATGCAGGAAGGGGGTAAGGGGGAGAAAGCAAGAGAAGTGCAGAGAATCTTACCTAACCCTGACCTTGGTGGTCAGAGATTTTCTGGAAGCAGGATGTGGATGAGGGGAATGCTTTAGGTAAAGGGAACAGAAAACTAGATGTTGCCAAGGTGAGAGCAGAGGGACACCTTCAAGAAATAAACCAGAAAAGCTTGGCATGGTCAGTGCATAAATTCTGGTAACTGGTGATAGTTATGCAGGAGAGGGTGGAAGGGGTAGATCAGGGCCTTGCTGGTGAATCTTGGATTTTGGAGATCACATGGATACCACTGAAGGTTTACAAACTAGTGACATTCAGACCTGTGTGATTTCAATGTCAGGTTTCAGCTCCCCATCACTCCGGACGTGCAGACTTTCCAAGACACCATTGGAGACTGCTTTGGCATTGCAATCGTGGGCTTTGCGGTGGCCTATTCCGTGGCCAGTGTCTATTCTCTCAAATACGATTATCCCATCGATGGCAATCAGGTAAATATACAACAGCGCTGGGCCTCACTGGGCAACTCTGAATAGTATTTTGTAGCTATAATGGCAATGGTATCTCTTCTAAGGACTGTTCCTCCTTGTTCCCCCTTCAGGAATTAATAGCCTTGGGGCTGGCTAACATACTCACCGGCTCATTCAAAGGCTTTGCTGGAAGTACTGCCCTCTCCAGATCAGGAGTTCAGGAGAGCACAGGGGGCAAAAGTCAGGTATCTTAGTATCGGTGCTACAAGGTCCGTCATAGCTGGAAGCCCTGAGTGGATGGGGCTGGGGGAGAGGGAAGAAGGTGACTTTGTAGTGAAAATGATTTTACCTTCACAGATTGCTGGGCTGCTCTCTGCTATCATAGTGCTGATTGCCATTCTAGCCATTGGATTTCTGCTGGAGCCACTACAGAAAGTAAGACTCCTCTGTCCTTTGAATGCTGCATCTAGATCAGGGTTCATAAACTCTTGAAGCAAAAACTAAACTAGGGAAAATGAGGTCACTGCAGAATCCTTAGTCATTCTCTTAGCCAGTATTCTATGGGCCAAAAAGTATTTATTTTTCTCCTGGCAGCATTTTATGAATGTTAAGAATGCAGATACCCAAGCCACCTTATCTGCTTGCTTCTCTGCCTGTTCGTAGCCCAAATATAATTAATGTTTAGACAGGAGGACTCTCTGACATGGCAACTGCCACGAGATGGAGTGAAGTAAAGATTTTCTTAAAGGATAAGGGAACCAGGCCCTCCAATTCAGAGAGTGGTGCTACCAGCCACACAACTTGTTTTTAGGTATACGCCCTGCATCTCCCATAGCTGGATGGGAATCCAAGGCCAAAATTTTCAGATTGTAGGAGGGGAGTGAACCATCAAACACAGACCTCACACCTTCACCCTCCTGCATCTCCTGAAATGGATCTCTCTCTCCTGAGATGCAATTTTTGAGGGTTTAATTTAATGTTCTGTAAATAGCCACAGTACCCAGATTTAAAGGGGAATAAGCATCAAAGCCTGGAAAATAGCAGCTCGGGGATATCCAAAGGTAATAAATACATTGTTTTTTGTGGCATCAAAGTGAAATTGAGGTGGTGCATGGAGCACTGGTTCTTGTGTCCTGAGGACCTGCTTCTAATTCTGGTTTTGCCACTCTTATTTGTGCTTTTGAGCCAATTCCTTAATCTCTTTGAACTTCAAAGTCTCCATTTGTAAAATTAGAAGGAAAATAGTGCCTACCTCACAGGGTTGCTGCAACAATTAAACAAAATAAAGCAGGTGAGTTCATCTTTTTTGACTGCTGAGTAATATTCCATTGTGTGTATATACTCATCTTTTTGATCCAGTCATTTTTGGTCATTTGAGTTGTTTTCATAGCTTACCTATTGTAAACAGTGCTGCAGTAAACATAGGGGTGCAGGTGCTCCATGTATAGAATAAAAAAAGAAAGAAACATTAGCTTAAAAAAAATAATACAGGTAAATTTCTTAGCCCTGCGTGTGGCTTATAGTAAACACTTAAATGATAGTCATCATTGTTAATATTATTGTTGCTGTTGTTATTCTCCAAACATTCTGTTATACTTCTGAATATATAGACATGGCTCACCCAGTTGATAGCTAGGTCTTTTTCCTCATTTGTGGGTAACTGGAATGTGAATTTGGTGCCAGGTTTTCTGGACTTCAGTGTGGTCATCCCCAAAACTTTCCCTGGTCAAAAATGTCTTCAAGAAGATTTTTTTTTACCACTTGTCAAAGATAAGTGTTCTCCATACTCTCATCTACAAATTTCCAAAGGAATAATACAAAAAGGCAAGAAGTCACCATCAAAGGAGTAGAAGAATATGTATCTTAATAAAAACAAAATGCACACATCCTCTTCACTACACATAGAGAATTCGGCCCTACTGGCTTCCTCCCAGGGGTACACTTGGCCTCTACCAGAACCCAGAGAAACTATTGCCATTTAAATTCTCATCTCTCACGAATAAACCATACCCAAAGACATTAGCCACCATGTTAATCAAATCCCTCTTCAAAAAGATACATGTGACAAGTTCTTCTTAGACTATTGTGTCTTTGTTTCATCTTAAATAGCTGGTTTGCTTCATTTATCATAGAAGAACAGAATAACTCATAATAATAGTTATGAATGTCTCTTGAGTGCTTATTAAGCATCAACAGAGTTCTAAATTCCTTACATGAATTCAATTCTTTGTAACAACGGCAGTGTGGTTACCAAGTTCCTGGTAAAGTGATCCCCCTTTTCCTGCATATGGCTTCCTTGATGTTCAGTTGTCTTTATGTCTCTTCTGCAGTTGGTACCTGACATACTAAAGTCTCCCAAGGAGGTGGCTTATTATACATGGCCCCTCTCCCAACTGCCACAGAGTTGACGTCTTACGTAGCTACAACACAATGTAAATACCTGTTGGTGTTGGTGCTGGGCTATTAACCAGACCACAGACTTCATTCAGTGGTCATCATTTTTCAACTGTTAATTTTTCTTTCTTCAGATAATTTTATATGCTTTCCTTTAAAAATTATTTATTTTTTATTTTACATTATTATTTTGTGCAATTTTTTTTTCATCTTAGTTGTAATCGCTGTGGACTTCCTACTACAATTCACTCATGTGCCATCACCATAGTCCTGTGTGCTCTTCCCCGTCCAGTTTTGATCCTATTCCCTTCTCCACCCCCAAAAAATGTCTCTGGTTTATAGTTTTTCATTGTTTTTCAGGGGAAATACTTCCTTTCTGGAGTCATGTAAGACCATCATTAGTCCTCTAGAGAATAATCTCTAGCCTCACAGACAGTAAAATGAACTGGTTAATAGATTAAATTCTTGAAGTGATACAGGAAAATAAAAAAATGCCCTATCAGTAAAACTATCTTTGAGAAAGGAAAGTAAAACTCTGTTTTTTTTTTCTTTTTGCACTGTGTTTTTATGGTATGAAAGTAATCAGTATACAAATTCCATAGTCCATTCAGAATGGAACAGCCTGAATTGAGAGTGGAGATTGGGAACATATTCCTAACATTGTGTTAAAATCAAATAAGGGAGAACATACTTGCCTATTCAGCATTTTTCACTATAATGACATAATTCCTATAGGCCAAGTGTTCTCATTTTGCCATGTGAAGAATCCCAAAGTGTTGCTGGGCAGAGCTGAGTGTCCCCTAGAGCACGCTAAGTGAACCCTCCCTACAGTGGTATAGACACCAGGGTTTCTTGGAAGAGACTCTGTTTTGGGGTATTAGTCTTGGTCAGAGCTATAACTCATCTCTCACTCATAGAATAATTATTAAGCACCATCTGCATGCTATTTTCATGGGAGGTTCTGGGGATTTACAGGAAACAAGAATGCTATAGCTCATCTGTCCCAAAGAGTCTGCCTCAAATTGTTACTAACCTTTCTGTGACCATCGGCTTCCTCTTACCAGATGGTAAATCATCTCAAAAGTCTGAATCTAATTGCAGGACCCTAAGTTCCCAAATTGTTTGCTTTTTATTTTTTTAAACAAAGAGTAATCCATCTCTCAGATCCAATAAACAGACACACCTTAGATTATCTCTGATTTGGAATAATTCATTTCAGTCATAGGTCTTACAATCTGCCTTGTCCTGGCACAAGGGAAAGCTAAGAAGTGCCATCAGGTCATCTTTGGCATAAGCAGTTCAGCCCTGGACAAATGGTGGAGACAAAGTCACCTGCGCGGCCAGGTCCACCTCACATCTGGCTATCTCGGGGCTGTGCACCGGAAAAGGCATGCCCTGGGATACGCACTCAGGCCCTTTGAAAGACCAACTTATCTACAACTTCACCTTTGCTTCTATACTGTTTATGTGATTATCTAAAGTAACTTCTGCTGTCTATGTTTTTTACAGTCCGTCCTAGCCGCCTTGGCGCTTGGAAACTTAAAAGGAATGCTGATGCAGTTCACTGAAATAGGAAGATTGTGGCGAAAGGACAAGTACGATTGTGTAAGTGGAGGCAACGGTATTTGCAAGAGAGAAGTCACTTTAATGCTGATGTAAATAAAGTGCATATTTTTATTGTAAATTAGGTGAAATTTGTTTTTGTGTATATGTGGTCGTTTGTTTTGTTACTATCTTTAAATGGTCATTTTAATGATCATTCTTTGGAATTTTAATTGAAAAGGATGGGCTACTTGCAAATAGAAAGTGTCCCACAAAATATTAGGAGAGAAATTCCTTAAACCTTTTTCATGCTTTGTGGTCATCCCAAATGCCAGAGAAACTCTAAATTTCAGGGTCTGCCTTGCTTCTGTTTCTCATTACATCAGATGTTACTTTTCAGAGAAACTAAGAACTTACATGCAAAACATTCCCTTTGAAAATCCTCTGTAAGTTCCTCCCAGCATGCCTTGCTGGGAGAAGCAGAGTCCATAACTGTATCAGGGCCAAAGTCTGTGGCATAAGAATGACTGTTCACATTTCCTCTGGCACTTACAGTAAGTTAGGAGTAATAGGCTATGGGATGACTTTTGCTCCTGATTGATAATTGTTTAAGATTTAAATACCCTTCCTTTTGGTGTGCAAACATTCTCGTAAAAGATAAGTAAAAACACTACCAATTAATTTGCTGACTTGTAATGAAGTAGCCAGTTCTGGAATTTTTGCCATGACAGACTCAATCATTTCCATCAGTGTTCAAGGAAGAAGTTGGAAATAGGTACACTTTGCGGGGAAAGGATGTCTTTTTATAAAAATATTTGTTTGTGTTTCTGTGTCTCAGAATCTGAGTGCAGAAGTGACCTCTCCATCTGGTTGCACACGTCCAACTTGTGCATCTGGCTTTAGAAGTTTATGCTTTTTCATACCTCTAAAACATAGTATTTACTCAGAGGAAACTGTCATGCTTGTATTACCTTCTCTTTACAGCTAATTTGGATCATGACCTTCATCTTTGCTGTTGTCCTGGGACTCGGGTTAGGCCTGGCAGCTAGCGTGGCATTCCAGCTCCTGACCATTGTGTTCAGGACCCAATTGTGAGTGCCCTTGCTCTGCTTCCTTGCAGACTTCCACCTGCTCAAGTTGGGGGAGAAAAATATTTGTCACTCATTTAGCAAGAAGCAGGCTAGTCAGTAGGCACTGCCTGTCTGTCAAGATTGGCCAGCATGGTCTCCTTCAGTCAGGTTGTTCATGTCAAAGCCTCCTGGAGCGTAGAATGGCCCAACCTTGGAGCCTCAGCCCAGTTCTCACCAGCTGTTAGACTGCTCCTGGCTTTGACACCAATTTAAAGAAGTCATACAGAGCTCTAAGTCTTCTTACCCAGTGGCACTTCGGAAGCAATTATATTGTGAGCAGGTTCAGTGTCTTTGTCTTAGACTTGTACAACATGGCATTATGTTATAAGACTGTGAATCTTTTTGTGTCTAGTGGTAGGTTGTTAGATTGTACTCCCATTTAAAAACATGGAGTGATCCTAAAATTCTCTAACATTTAGAATTCTTTCTTAGCAATCATCTAGTCCAAGCATCTTTTTGATTCTTACATCTTTGCTATATAGTATATCTATGTTGGATCGTATGGCATTACAAAGAAATATGGTTACCTGAGGTTCTAGAATAAGTGCCATCATAGTTGAATTGACTAATATCATTTGATGGAACATCAATCTTTCCTGCATTTCTATTTCTTTCCACTTCTTGGGGATCCATCAAACAGAGACAAACTAAGAGGTGATAGGCAAGTCATTTCTCCATGTCCTTGGCTATACAACTGGGAAGTCATATCTGCCTTACTTCACTGAATTACAATACTCAGAAAAACATGTGAAAATATTTTGTAAACTGGAATATGGTAGATGGGAGGCTCTTGTCTAGGAAATATGGGAGGATAAGTAAAATAAGGTCGCTGCCCTTCGGGGTCTCCAATTGCATGATGATTCCCAATTTTGAGGAGTCTGGTTTGGTATGTTGGGAAATAAATGTTAACTGTAAAAAACTAACACATATGCATGAATGACTCAAGGCTGTCTTTTCCCTGCAGTCCAAAATGCAGCTCACTGGCTATGATTGGAAGGAGAAACATCTATAAGAACAAAAAGGATTACTCTGAGGTAAGAAACACTCATTTTTCACTTTAACTTGCTAACATGAAGTTGATGGGCACCAACTAATGTAACTTCTCTGCCTTACAGATTTATGAGCCGGAAGGAGTGAAAATTTTCAGATGCCCATCTCCTATCTATTTTGCAAACATTAATTTCTTCAAGCAGAAACTTATTGATGCTGTAAGGTTTGGGGCTATTCCGTTTTTGTTTGTACGTTCACTGAATATCTGGGAGTGAAGTGTTTGTTCTCTAATAGAAGGGTTGTTGATTTCACATACATTGAAGTTGGATTCTGTTGGTGTTTTGGTGTCAATGTCCCAGAACAGGTGAAACTATCTTAGAAGAATCCTTTGATATGTTGGGAATTAAGAATCTTTAGATGAGGTCCAATACAAAGTTGTATTTTATTTATTTCTATCGTAGAGTAAAATGACTTACCACAGATTTTATGCTGTTGGTTTTTAGTAGATATTATTCCATGATTTCTATGGGCATCAAACTCAGACATGGGAATATGTAATATTTCATTTCATTAGAAGAGATTCCAGATATCAGATGAGTATTTACAATATCATAACAGATAAATACAATACAAATGAATATTTACTGCTAAATAATGACAACTTAGTGTCCCTGATGGACAGGACAGGAGATGGCAAAGAGGCAGTCTTTAAGGTTAAGAAACAAAATTCAGCACTTACTCTTGAACATGAGTTTTGTTCTACTCTTACATACAGCTTCTGCTCTAAGCCCTACTTTCATTAGGTTGGTATTCACCAAATGTTCTTCTAGCCAACTATTTTTTTTTCACACACAAAAAATAATCTTTTCACCTAATCTAGGATTTTTTCACCCAACTACATTTTGGGGGCAAAGATTATTTTATTACATAAGTTGATCCTCTGTATTACTCTGGAGCAAAGTATTGTCACAATAAGTATATATATTTGTCTTGAAAGGGGGAAATGAGGTCACCTTCAGATTTAGTATTGAAGTTGTAAAACAAAATTATATAAAGTACTATTAAATGTAATCTTATGTTAATAGGAAAAAAAATACATAAAATACAAACTCATTATGTTTGTTACCTGTATTAAAAAGATTCAAATAGCATTTAGACCTACTCAGGGATAATGTGTGACTAAGCCTTGATGGTACAAATTTCTGAATGTCAAAAACTGCTCACAGGCTAGCCACGTCATAGGTCTGACACAATGTTGTTTAAATCACTTTACCATTTTATTACAAATATCTTCTTGATGTGCCCTAATCCCTCAAACCAACCCACTTAAGAGTTATTAGACTTATCTCCTGTAAGTGGCAGAATATTCAGCATTCTTGTGATACAGCAATGGTTTTGCAGGTTGGCTTTAGTCCACTTCGCGTACTCCGTAAGCGTAACAAAGCTTTGAAGAAAATCCGAAAACTGCTGAAGAAAGGCCTGCTACAAGTGACACCTGTAAGTAGGCCTTTGGACCACATTTCATGTATTACAACTAAAAGCTTAATGTAATTTAAGGTGTTGGTTTCATTCCTTTAAATAAAATGCCAGATAAACAACATATCTAGAGTGTCAATTAATGTCACATTTTTAAATAGCATTTTTGAGGGTTTCTTTAAAATTTTCATTCTTCTGGGAAAAACTTTATTCTCTAGAAAAAAAGGGTTTTCAATCCCAACTTGAAATCTGGGGTTCAGAAATTCATTGGCAATTCTGAACTTCAAGAACATTTATTTGGTCAGATTTAAATTATGTTTATTAACCTCTCTTGTAGAAAGGCTTTATATGCACTGTTGACAGCTTTCAAGATTCCGATGATGAGCTGGACAACAATCAGATAGAAGAACTGGATCAGCCAGTCAACACTACAGATCTGCCTTTCCAGATAGACTGGAATGCTGAGCTTCCTCTCAACATCGAGGTCCCTAAAGTCAACGTGCATAGCCTTATTCTTGATTTTTCAGCAGTGGCATTTCTTGACGTTTCTTCAATGAGAGGTCTCAAAACGGTAATTACACTTTTCTTAAAGAAAATGACAATCAGTGATTAGAGGCAAAAAGAAAAATGCATTTGTTTTAAGGATGTGCCTTTAGATAACATACACTTAAGTAGAAGTAAGTTATAATGTTAGTCTCTTCCCTGGAGAGGGTAGATTTGTGCATTTCCCATAATTTTGGAGGGAACCAAATCTACCTGTCTAAGGTCTGCAGAGCCTGCTAGTAGACAGCTATGCTCCATGTCTCTCAAGTTCCTACTTGGCAGGGTCCCTACATGATTGCAGGAGTTGATCTCCAAACTGTCTTGAAATCAGACGTTTGAAAGGATCTTAGAAAAGTGAGCTAGTAGCCCCTTTTTAATCCTCATTCATTATAAGTTGACGAAATTTCACTTGGCTATATGTTTCCCAATAAAGGCACATATACAAGAGAAAATAAATGCCACATGGGATTTTAAAACAGGACTGAAATGATCTTGTTTTAATCTGTCTCCTTTCCCTAGTGATGGTAACTGTTTCCATAGTAATAGTAGCTTAGTTTCTAAGAGAAATGCAGGAACAGATGTAAATTCAAGCCTTTCCATACTCCCCCAACTTTGACTTGGTTTTTCACAGAAATCTGCCTGCGTAAGAGCTAAGAAAATATTTATTAAGTATAGGAGAACTGTGTACAGATTAAAAAAAATAAGATTGACTTTATTTCCTTCAAATTTATTTAAAAAAATTTAGCATCACATAACTCAGTTCTGCATAGTCTTTTTGTTTTTGGCTTTGGGCAAAAATAAATGCACACACAAAATATACTTCTCTGATCCTAGGAATATACTGCAAAGAACATGGATTCTTCCTTATGCTTTTTAAAACACTAATTGTTAGTTCAGTGAGTGGTTGAAAATATTTATTGATATTAATGATCACCTTTTGTCAATGGTGCTAGATGCTTTTCTTAACTGTGTTCTCACTCATCTCACTACTAGTACTTGTTTTGAGACAGACTAGGAAAATGGATAACATCATTACTGCTAGAAATACCTAATTACTGTGGATGAGTAAATGAAAAGCATTATATAAAGCATGGGGTCTTTTTGTTTCTTTTACATATATAGAGATAGAAAGCTCTAGTCAGGGTCACCCCACAGAAGACACTTTTAATATTAAATCTTGAGTTGAGACAGAACTTTTTACCATTACACTTCCCTCAAAAGTGATACTTTTTACCTTCTTACTGAAGAGGAGAGCACTTTTTTCTTTGCATTTATTCTGTCAGTTTTGTTTTTAAATTTAGAATGTTTTGTTATGTGTATTTTTATACTAGTATTTCTTTTCAAAATGTAAAGGGCCCAATATGCTCCCCATAAGCATATGTATATATAAGCACATATAATTATGATAGCTTTCTTTGTGTACCATTCTTTGCATAGCTTTCATAGGAGAAGTGAAACTGTCTCCTAAGGGAAGATGTATTTTCTTTTTAATAGATGTTGCAAGAATTTGTCAGGATCAAGGTAGATGTGTATATTGTTGGAACTGATGGTAAGTTGTTTTATCTGTACTTTTATGTTGTGACAATTACTTTGGGGTCACTGCTAATTCTCAACTGAGTGAATCTCTCTGAAGACTGGATACTTTTTATGAACCCCAAAAAGGAAATCCAGTTTGCATCTGAGTCAACAGAAATCCCCCTGGATATATCATTTTCATATTTTAGTTGTATTAATATGTAATTCAATTAATTTTAAATTTGAACCCACATTTAACTAGGCAACAATGAGTGAATATGTAATCACTTTTAACCTAATCTTCCAGAAAAAGGAGACTTGTTTTTTCTCTTTTCTGGTTGATTCCTTAGCCCATGATAGCCCAGTTTCTGCTTCACCTTGCTGCTGAAGCGGCCCTTGTCAAGGTCATTGGTGAAGTCCAGACTGGCAACATCAAATTGCTTTCACCCCAGCTTCATTTTCACTTTAGTGTTTGTCTTTGCCTCTGCCCTTCCCCACCCCACAAGACTTTGTTGTTTGTTTATTGAGGTAACTCTGGTTCACAACACTGTATATTTTAGGGGTGTATGTTCACATCTCTTCAGATATGTATGTTATTACACAGTGTCCACCATTGAAGTACCCATAATCCTTCACTATAGTCCATTGAGCCCTCTCTCCCTTTCTTCCTTGCCTCCCAGCTTCCCCTCTGGGGTCTCAACGCTACAGATTTCTAGGATTTGTTTGGTTTTGTCTGTCCCTTTCTTTCTTTATATTCCACATATGACAACTGGTCTTCCCCAAGATTTAGCTCTAATTCCATGGGCTTTTTCTAATCAATCTTTTACACACTTATGATTTCAAATACATCTTTATGCTAATGGATCCCCAAACTACACCTCTAGACCTTTCTTCTAAGGTGCAGACCCATGTACTCAACTATCTCATGTACCCCACTTTCTTCAGACACATGTTCAAAGCTAAGTATCTTCTCTTCCCAAACTTCTCCTCCTTTCTTATCTCAATCACTGTACCACCATCCACCTTCAGCATCGTCTTTAAATTTCTCCTTTCCCCTTTGCCTCTTTATGTGAGGCATTAAGATTTAAAAATATTTACTTGTGAATCAGTCTGTTCCTCCCCATTTCTACAGCCCAATTCAGACCCTTACATTTGTCATCTTGACCTTTGGAAAGAACTTTCCATCTAGTACCCTTGTCCAGACATATTCTGATGAGAAAACTCCTTCAAGAATTTATTCTTCAATAATTGTGAGCACTTCTTGCTTTTCCAGGCAGAGTATGGTGGTCCTCACACTGCTTGTCTCTGCATATTCTTAATATTCTTCAATGGTGTGTTTGTGTCCCCACTAAATTCTCTCCAGGGAAGGTACTGATCTTGTTTGCCTTCTTGTTCCCTATCTCTTACCAAATTCCCAGGACATGAAAGACATTCGATAAAGGCTCACAGAGCACTTATTGTGTTCTGGGTGCTACGGATACTGAAGTGGAATAAGACAAACTTCTGCACCCATGAAATTTATGGCCCAATGGGAAATGACATTATGAACATATAAAGACATATTTTTTTGTCATAAGAATGGCTATGAAGGGTGGTGATAAGAGACATGGAGCAAGTGAACAGTTAATCAAGGATGTCCAGTGGGGTAACATTTGAACAGAGACTGAAATGAGTGTGGAAGTCAACCTTGACAGTATCTTGGGGGTAATAGTTAGAAACAAGTTTCACAAGTACACACCTAAAGGAAGGCATGAATTTAGCTTATTTAATTTTCTCTCTCTACTGGCTCCTAACCCTAAAATCTATAGCTTTTAGTTTCAAGGCATTAAATTTTAAAAAATTTTCTTGATCTCACTAAACTTTTAATCTACTAAACCATCTTTACTCTTTCCCCATCACCCCAGATCTTGTGGAAGGTGTCTTTTGTATCTCTCTTAATTAAGGACTTAATCACCTTCCTTCCCACTACATGTCACCTACTTCTATCCCATGTTCTGGAGACCACAGTGGCTTCAGCCACTGCTAGGTGCTGATAATTTTAAAGCTTGCTTGTAAACAGACTTTCCCACCTCCACACTTTCCTGACTTCTCTCCCTCCATCTTTCTACAAGTCACAGACATTCTTTTAACTAGTACCTGTTTGGTCAAACTTCCCCAGGTACTTACCAAGGAGACTATCTTTATCCTGCATTCCCTGAATTTTCATAGCACATGACCCGCCCCTCTCTTATTCATGCAACAAAAATGTGAGAACCTACTATGTGCTGAGCATTGTTTTTAAAACTAAGAAAACACTAAAGAAAAAGGTCAGATTGCACCCTGCCTTTATCATTCTGCAACTTTCCCTTTCATTGCTATACTTGCACATATTATATTTTCCTTGAGGTCAAGGTCATGCTTTATCAATCCTTTCTTTGCTCCTTCATACTACCTAAACTGGGCTTTACATGCTCTGTAAGTATGGGGTAATATCTGGTTGAATGATCTGTGCAAACAAGTGCTGGATAGTGCCTTCAAGACTAGGGGTCCACGAAGATGATTAGAAAGGTAATAAAGGGTGCTGAGGAAGACATTTTCGAATGGAACCCAGCATCTTTGGGGAAATAAGACTACAGAAAGGAACTGGTAAAATAAAGGCCTGGAAATTGGACCAGGATATCAGTGGTCCAAGGGCAAATGTTCTATTTTGGCAGAATCCCAATTTTTAATAAGCCATAATTAATGCTTCAATCATTAAGTAGGAAGATGAATTCACTAGCTTCCTGCCTAAGGGTCTGGACTGATATCCTTTTGGAAATATTCTCACTTCAATCTTTTTCTTTTTTACTTGAGAACATTACAGATTTTTATTAGATATTCTGTAATTTGTGAAAATGCCATACTGATAGTACACTGCTTTTGTATCATTGCCATCTGCAGAGATTTAATGAAATCCATGTGCATTTGCAAAGGGAAGTTCAAGTCACCACCTTGAAGGAGAAGCCACAGCCAAAGATGTCTTCCTAAGTATTATTCTTTTTTCTCTCTTCAGATGATTTCATTGAGAAACTTAAACGGTGTGAATTTTTTGATGAGGAAGTGAAGGACTCAATATTTTTCTTAACAATCCATGATGCTGTATTGCATATTCTGATAAAGAAGGATTACAGTACTTCAAAGTTTAATTCCAGTCAGGTACCAGTTCTTGAGTCATCTTTTATATTGTGTCACCATCTGCTCTTCTCAAATTTCCCATTATTTTTCAATATAGAAAATGTTCTCCCTAATCCATAATTTTACCTTGTTTTTCTTAGGAAAAAGAAAAAAATACTGATTTTACCATAAATACAAATGGAGGATTACGTAATCGGGAATGTCAGGTAAGATTCTTCAACAGGTTTGTCTTTATCCAGACGTCACAACAAAAATCTTAAGAGTAATGAGCACTCTCCAAGTTTGCTGCAGAAAAGTCCTTGAAAAATGAAGCAATGTCATTGAAATTTGCAGAGAGAATAAACTGAGACTAGCTTGAAGGAGGATGGGAAATAGTGACACTAGATCTCTATTAATGTGACATTGAACATATATAGAGAGAACATTTTGTTTTCAAAGTACAAACAAGATTGTATTCTGGTCTTATAATAATCATCAAGGCAGGAATGTTTGCTGTTTCCATTTACAGATGAATTAGAGATGGCGCTGAGGAGTTAGTACAGACTTCTTAACTCATAGGTCATGGAAAGCTTGTAGCATAGTGTCCAACCACCCTAGCAATGAAAGTGAACTTTCTTTCTGCCCTTTCTAAAAAGAGTTGTTAAGTCATATCATTTAATTGGCTGGTTCCACTTGAAAGCATAATTTCTAGAATATTCAGTGCATTCAAAAAGGTGAAATCACAAATCAGATACAGTATCTGCTGTAGGCCAGGTACATGGTTGGTACATTACATTCAGTATCTCAATACTTACAACAATACACAAATGAGAAACCTGATTTAACCAAGTAAAGAAATAAAGCTCAGAGAGCTTAGTTAATCTGCTTATAGTAACAGACCACAGTTATAGTAACAGGATTTGAAGGTCTGTTCTGTCTCCTAGACCAATATCCTACTCCCTCTACCTTACTGGCTCTATCCTTTGGGGAAAGACTAATGGAACAGAGGGTCCTCAGAACAAATCTAAGAATTACCTGCAAGTATGAGAGGTGACTGGTGGCATTTCTCTTAGTTGAAGAAATATCTGAGGATAGCACAACAGAATTTCGATTAGAAATGAGGGAGAAATATTGATATAAGATAACCCGGACCATTATTAAGAAGTATGTCCGAGAGGAAAAGACTGTGAAAACTTCACTGCTCTCTATTAAACGTCAAAAAGTTAGACAAATCTGAGATGAAAGGAGGGCATAGGAAAGCGGCAGGGCACTGCATGTTTCCCAGGGATGATTTCTAGAGAAACCAAGCCTGGCGCCTGGCCTGAACTCCCTAGAAGGAAAACAAAATTTAAACCTGATGTATAATCAGAACCAACTAACGCAAGGTAGTGAACTAACTAAGGTAGTGAGCACCAATCAGCTCCTTGCATTGCTTAGAGGACCACAGGTCAGCAGTGGCAGGCAGATGACCAGCAGTGATGCAGGTAAGTGCTGGTGTGTCTGGCGAAAACACAGACTACCTGAGTTAGTGCACCCCAACATGTGTGAAGACACATATTGCTATAACACAGATATTGTTACTTTTAAGTTAGTCCTTTGAAAAATACAATTAATAATATGCTATCACATGGCTCTTTGTTCACCAAGTACCCATGGGAGGTATTTAATAATAATTAAAAATTTAAGACAAAGAATTTGTTGACAACTCTGGCAAATACCCATTTCTAATTTCAGATTGCCCAAGTTTACACTTTATAAATATATGATTACTAAAGGGGATGGAAATTAACCAAATTTTTTAGAACAAAAATTTGTCTTCTTTCAGGTACCAGTTGAAACACAATTCTAATCAAAATAATCCAGCAGGATCCTCATCTATCATTTAAAGAACAACTTTATACCCAGAAAGTTATAGATAAGTTCATACATTGTATGAAGACTTTTTGATGGAATTATGTTTCAAACTTTGGAACGAGATTGTTCTAACATGGTATATTTTTCACATATCTAGTATAAAATTATGTAAATATTTTTAATTTTATACCTTGTAGGTTTATCAAAAAGGAAAAATGTGTTTGTATATATTTTTATAGCACTGACAAGACTTCCATCCAAGTCACTAACTTTGTGCATGTGTTTCAGCTTATTTACACTGCTACCTTGAATCCTGTAATTTATACAGTTCATATTAATATATCCCTGTTTTTAAAAGTTCAATTGTACAGTGACTGTGTCTTGTTTTCTTAAATTTCTTGTTTGCTTTCTGACATACATGCCTTCTGTAGGTCTGGCTCGAAACAGGCTCTGTGAGACCTTCCTAACAACTTTACTGCAGGGAGACTCCCTTGCCCCTATTTCCTAGTGACCTACATCATCACTCGACTTTTTAAAAGCACCAAGCCTGCTATCCAGTTTCAGACACAGGTCTCCTAGTAACTTGCAACTATAACTAGACTTTGAGGCAAATCCTTTTGTTTTTCCATCTCACTATCAAAATTACATAAGCAAACTGTATAAGCTAATAGATGTAAAAAAAAAACAAACAGTAACTTGGAATTACAAAGATTGATGCTGGGAAGCTTTTTGCTGCTCATACACAAAGAAAAGAAGACTGCTGGAGAAAGCCTGACCCTGTCTTCACTGCTGCTCACAGTCTGTCACTCACAGGGCAGGCTAACAGCTGCAGAGCTCCATTTAGCAGGAGAACACGATTCAACAAACCTTTTTTTCATTGGCCATGTTCTTGGTGGCAAGTTGCTACTTATTTTGTGAGAGAGCTAAAATTTAACAGAAAAAAATGCAGTGCCTTCTATTATACACCAAACCATTTTGTCATGGGGAAAGTTGTCACAATTGCTTTAAATCTCACTCCTAAACATTGTCAAAGTTCCTTTCCAATCTTTACTACTATAGTTACTATAGTGTCTTTACTGAGGGGACTTGTCTATTGAACTTAAAAAGCAATTGCAGAAAGGTAAAACAAAGGTCTTTATTTACATAGCTACTTTCAATTAAAAAGTTGCCCGTCAGCACTTACAGCAATGTTTCATAAAACATTTGGGGACATGGGCACTAGTTAGAGCATTATGGAATACACACACCTTATGGAATTGAGGAGGAAAATACACTTAACACATACATTTATTTATGATGTCAATCTCTGGTTAAGAATACTTCTTTTATAAAGGGTCATGTAGAACTGAAAATTTAATTCTTAAATTGCTTAAATTGGGAGTTGGGTAAAAGCCATGTGAAGTTTTATCTATGATGTCTGCATCTTCTCAAATAAAGGTACCCACTAGACTCTTCTCGCCAACCAAAATAAAAGAGCAGAATTAAGCACTCCAATTACTGTGCCCTCATCACAGTCCATTCATCCTTGCCCTTAAATGCTCTTTTCTTTTAGGACTCTAGTTTAGATATGTTTTGGGTAAAAGACTGGATATTTATTTGTATGCCTCAGAACAAATATTGAAAATTCAATAAAAAAAATTAATTCTTAATTTAGGAAGAGACTGCGTTGGAAGATAAAAATAAAATTTTATAAACCAGAGTTAAGAATTGAAGGGGAGAGGATACCCCATGTTGCACCTGGAGGATAGAATGACTTGTGAAAAGACAGACACACTACTAAATCAAGGAAGGTTGAAGCTAACACATGTTGAGCTGTTATCTTTAAAATAATTTTCTAATAATCATTAAGTATTTGATACCTAGTCTTAACACAGTAACTTACCACTTAGAAAATGCAAATAGCGTAGCAGACCTCTCCTGTCTTGCCCGCTGCTCCCCTCAGCAGTGTACTTTGTCAATCTGCCTGTTCTGCTCCCCACTCTGTCTCTGGTGAATCCGTTCACCACTCCTGCACCTCTGGCCTGTACCCCAGTTCTGTATGCATAAATGAATAAATCTTTAAAAAAAAAGAAAATGCAAATGCAGTGGTTTAAATCTAAGTTTGACTTCATGCTGTATTAACAAGAGTAAAGTAGTATTTAATTCACGTTTCTGCCATCTTGATCTGGACATCTACATGTTGAAAATTATCTACTGATCTCCTCAATATGCTCTATTAGTATCTTTCCCACTCAGTTAATGACAATTCCATCCTTCCAGTGAGTCAGGCTGGAATTCTATTATTATCCCTATTATTAAAATAAATGTCAATTGATTTTTATTCAAAATAGCTCCCACAAAGTAGGTACTACTCGCCCCCATTTTTTAGAAAAGGTAAATAAATGAAGGTTCACAGAGGATAATCAGTTTACATTGAAGATAGTGGTGCTAGAATCAGCTGTGGCAATCCAATTCCAGAGCCCAGGCTTAGTCATTAGGAAAATTACCTCACCAGTGAACTAAAACCTGTCATAAACACTGATCTATTACATGGCAGGACTAATCATATAGGTACAATGTACAGATTAGTCCTGAATTAGTAAGAAATTTAGCCTTGTACAACTAAATATACTCAGAAGAGCTATTAGAACATAATTAATGTATAGAATTAAACTATTTCATTGTGGTTATGTACTTGTGCATGTTTTTGTAATACATTTTTAAATGTAATTTTTTTTCCTGGCACAACCCTTTGAAAAATATAGGTAATTTTTTGGAGGAAAACTGAAAGATGTTAAGGGTTCCCAAGTAAGTTAGGATTAAAGCTGCTAAAAGGCTGGGGCTCCATTACTTATTATATATATACATTTTATATAATTCATATATTTGTCAAATATATATACTTCCACATATCACCCACTATTGGATCCCTACAATCATAATTTCTTGTGTTAGTATCACCTGTTCTTTGCTCCTTGGTCTTTTCTCAACAAAACCCTTTTTTTAAAAGAACATTATTCCACTTCTCTGCTCAGGCCTATGGTGGCCTCTCACAACGGAGATGTCAGCCTTTGTGATGTGCTAGGACCAGTGATCCCCCCACTCTATTACTTCGGACCTCTTACTACTCGTATCTCATTCGTTCCACCTGTCTTGTGGCTGTTCCTCAAATATGCCAGATGCCATGCCACTTTCACATCTATGTAAACTGTATCTTGCTAGCAAGTTCTGCCCTGTTATCTATAGGACTGTAACCCACCTACTCAAATCTTTGCTCAAATGTCACCCTTTCAGAATTCCACCTTGACCACTCTATTAAACCCCAAACCTATTTACCTACATCTTTCCTACACAGCATTTTGTCACACATCTAACATGCTCTATAATTGGGTGAAATGCATTGTCTGTCTCTTGTCTTGCACACCTCCAGTGCTTAGTGATGCTTAGCATACAAATATATGAATAAATGAATCTTTATATCCCACATGGTCGGTGTTCAGTATATATTTATTAGGCATAGGTCATGAAGTACAGTGGATTAGAGTGCTTAACTAGAGCATAAGCCTATCTGTTAGCTCTGTAACTAAAATGAGTGGATAGATATGCACACCAAAGCTGTTATTAGTCCTTATCTCTGGGAGGAAACTGCTCACTGCAATAGTGATCAAGGGGGTCTCTACTTTTATTTCTAAGATTTAACATTTTTTCCCAACAAGATTAGTTGTATAATTGAAATGAGTACAAATGTTGAAACAAAAATTAGGTTTTGAAAGTAACAGGAAGTAAAAACAGAAGCGTCAATTTGAAGGAAGGCAAAGGGAGAACAATTTAAAGACTGCTTAATAGAAAAGCAAGCTATATGAAACTTGGTGCTTACAACTCTTCAGAGTACAAATAGGATATTCTTAGGTCACAGCATACATTAACATTTCAAAATGATAGATTTTTCAAACACAAATGATACTGCCTAAGTGTGAGGTAAAACCACAACCTACCATTGTTCATGTCAGTCCTGTGATTTTGCAATACTTACAGATTCATGATCCTTAAAAATAGGGAGAGGAGAAAAATAACAATAAAAACAAAAAACAATAAACAAAAAAAAACAATAAACATGTTTTAACATTTACTTTTCCCTTCTCATGGAAAATTGAAGAGGCATGAACCAAAACAAAAAATGTTTGAAAACCCAAATGGTTTTTATCTACTACCACTCCCAAGTAATTTAACTGCTTTATTCTCCCCTCTACGGCTGTTAAATCAATACTGCATTGTTAGTTTGTGTATAAGTAAGAAGTAAATTCTGCTTGGTTTCTAGGTCACAATTTAACAGGTCACAAGTCAGTGAAGAAAAATTCATTTCAATCAGAAAATACTATTTTTGAGTATGTGTACATGAAACTTCAATTCATATCAACATATCAACTTAATACCTAACCATTACAAAAGTATATTTTTCCTTTAAGTTTCCCCAAATACTTATAATTGCTTTTTCAAAAAAAAAAAAAAAAGTAAGGTAGATTTGGGCTCATTTCTAAAATGATGAACGGTCCTCTTCCAACATGTTAGAACAAAACCTAAAGCAGCTCTGTGCAATTCATACAGTACTTACTGTGAATTTAAAAATACGTTGAAATCGTTTCTATCTCAGTGGTATCTAATTATTTACAAATGATTTTGAGCCAAGAGGTTTTCTACAGGGCAAAATGTATACAGTTTCTTATAGTCTTCACAACTGATATTTCTCCAAATACAGTGTTATACTCTGAACAAGCAAGCCACTAAATAAGTATTAACATTCAACTGCTGGCTTAAACCTCAAAAAAAGTCTAATTTTACTGTAAAAGGTATAGCAACATAAACATGGAAATTTTGCACTCTCGTGTATCATGATTAGGTAAAAATTCATTTAGGCAAAATAGTATTTATGCTTCCATTTTATTGTTTTTAAGAATTAAACTGCCACCTCAGTAGTCTTAAGAGCAATATAATGAAACATACATACATTTAGACTTATGTCCATCATAGCTTCAAAGGCTTCCCTGAAATAAGGCTGGGGATTCACATCTTTTTTTCTTAAGGAAAGGAACACTAACAGTAATGTGTTACTCTTCTACCCACCCACCCTCATTCAAACAATAACTGGATGAATTCAAGTCTAACACCATTTAAAAATTTTGTCTGCTACAACACATTCATCTGATCTGCCTCCCTGCGTAATGTGTATTTCTTAAACCTAAATGAAAATAATCATTTCCATAAGACTAAAAATTCTTTTAGCTTGTTGGAATTTTATCATGATACTAATTTTTTTGTCCAATACATAGGCTAAGTGGTTTCATACCACATTCAATTCTAGTGAATTTTCATAAAAACTGAAGAGCTCTTTAGCCAAGAAGCTCTAGAATTTGGCTATTTTCTTACTACACCAAACAAAGAATGGTATTGAGTTTTCAACAGTAATATTTTAACACCTCCAAGAAAGGAGCATGAAAGGGAATCAAGTTTGTACCAGTCCAAGTACCTACAGTAAGATGACAGAAGCACTCACCACCAACATTTCACACTATTTCACTCCCATGCTTCTAATAACAAGAATTTCTCATTAGAAATATTGCATTAACACTGGACTCTCAGATTGCTATGTGTGAAAAAAATCACTTAACTTAAAAATAGTGTGTTAGTTATATTCGGCTAGTCAAGACTGAAATGGCCATTTATATAACGTTTAACTTCAGCTCTAATGTCACAGATGACTTTGTATCTTGATATCCAAGAGGAGATATTATTTTTGCCTGTACCTGACAGAATTAAATGGTAAATTAGCAATCAGTTCACCCTTTGTCAAAAAGAAATGTCCTAAATTTACACTACAAACTATTTAATAAATGATATCTGCATACTACACATTTCATGTTTATATTATGCACCATTTTAGAGGGGAGGAAATACTTCACAGGGGTTTATTCAAAGGATATATAATAATATCCCAAGAATGATTTATACATATGAATTCTGTATAAACTGTAAGTGGTCATCTTAGCTGGGCTGTAACAAGCCCCTATAATGCAAAAACTGACTCTAAAGGCACCTTATATAGCATTGAAATTCAATTTAGTCATTAACTTTTCTCCAATACAAAATCATCTGGTAGTCTTCACTGTAGACTCCATGCTAAAATATTCCAAGTTTTAGACTGACCAATAAAAGGAAATAGGATATAACTTTTTTATATTTCAAATTAAGAGAAAAATCCCTTATCACACAGTAATGAAACCTGAGCAATGCAAGTTTTTGATTACAAGAATGTCCTTCATTAATACAGTATTTAAATCCTCCATGGCATTTAAATTAATAGTTTAAACCCAATAAACAAGAACCCACTTAAATACAGGATCAAACTCTACCATGAAATGAGGAATTATATAAAGCCTATTCAGCCCTAAATGTTTAAGACAATGAGCAGAGTAGAACACACATCATCTAAATAACAGCATTTAAACAGCTCTATAATATAATGTTACTCAAGATTATTGAGTGTGGTGCATCATGTGATTCTAACCATTCGGTAAAAAAGCATTAATGAGCAATAGCATCCCGCAACAGCGTGGGGCATAGAGTTGATCACTTTGGCCCTATCTTTCTAAATAATTAGTAATGCCTTTTAAGATTACAAACATAAATATGTCCAAGTACTGGAATTCCAATGTATTTTGGTGCTCCTGAGGTTGCCTAAAAATGAAAAGGCATCCAAGTGAAGTGCATTATATTCTAATATACCTCAAAATTTCAGTGCCTAAAATGTGAAATAATTCTTTACCATTTAACAGTCTGCCTTACAGTAAAATCTAGTAGATTTTTACTTTTAGGGATTTTATTGTAACTTTGGGAAATTAGTGGTAAAACATATGGTTTTAAAAAACAGTATGTGGCTGCACTTAAATTCACATAAAAATAGCAATTTTACAACCATATTGAAATTTAATCCTTTTACACAGGTTAACAAAATGTATCACAAGAAAAACTAAACATTGGGTTTAACAAAAGCAGTACTTTGGAAAGTGGAACAATGAAAAATTATGCAAATTTTTTTTTTTTTTTTTTTACAAATGGTCACCTCTGGGTCAATTTACCACACTAGGGGAATAAAGTTGTTAAAATATAGCTGTGCTCTTCTGAGCCACTTATCTGCACTACGGTATAGTACTTGAAATCAATTCTAAGGTCAAGATTTAAAACCATTTTAAGAGACAAGACCCTAAGTGTTTTATAGTCACCTCAGTAATAGGTGCTTTTCCTTCCCAAAGCAGTCAAAGCTTAATTAAAAGATTGACTATACATAAGTTTTTTTTTCCTCATCATATCTTCAGTTCAAAATACTATTATCATTGGTAATACGGTCTATATCTTGTCTGATCTGGATGATGTGGTCCAGGAAGTGGGGTCTGAGAAGGCGGACCCTGCATTCGTGGAGGAGGAGGCGGCCCTCTTGGTGCAGGCCAAATACCAGGACTCATTCCCCCTGGTTGTGTAAATGGAGGGCTCAGAGTTCCTTGATCTTCAGTGAACTGGGGTAAAGAGCTAGGATTATAATGGTGAGGAGGGGGTGCAGTTACAGGTGGACCACCATGTTGAGGTGGGGGAGGTCCTGGAGGAGGATGATTCATATAAGGTGGCATCTGGGCAATAATATGTCCAGGGGGAGGGGTTATTGGTGGTGGAGCAGAGGTCATTGGTGGAGGTGGAGCTTGGCTATAAACCAAATGAGGAGTACCTGCGGCCTGGGGAGGATGTGGCATTGGATGGCTTATTGGTGGTGGAGGAGGTGGGGGTGGTGCATAATGTTGCTGTGGAGGCATAATATGATGAGGGTGCGATACCACTGGTTGACCCTGATATTCAGGATGATGGTGAGCAGGTGCTGGGGCAGGAGGTGGTGGTTCTCTAGCACCTGAATTTGAGTCATCCTGAATAGGGACAGTTATCAAATTGCTGTGTTTTCTTGTTGAAATACGAAAGGTTTCCTGACTGACTGAACGAGGTGGAGGTGGAGCCATGGACAATTCTGCTGGAGGAGCACGGATATCCTCATGAGGCTGATTATAGTGCTCATGTGGCACATGTTGCAAAGGAGGTGGTGGCATCATGATGTGCTGCTTTGGCGGAATATGGCTCATATGGTGCTTGTCTGGCGGCATTATAAATCGATCAGGGATTTCAGTTGGTGGAGGGGCAATAGGAGGATGAACGTTTTCAAGTGAAGCACGGGTAACAGGTTTTCCAGCTCTCATATGGCGGTGGTTGATATGAGCCTGTAAGTCTCTCTGAGACAAATATGTTCTCTTGCACCCTTGAACAATGCTACACATGAAGAGAGAACCTCGTGTACACTGCTCAATTCGCTGCACAGGATCACTACAGCTAAATTGAAAGGGAAAAAATTTGATTTACTAAAAACAGCCTATAAAAAGAATGCACTTAATTTCAAAGATATGGTAACTTTTAGCCATTGATTGCTACGGAAATCACTGAGTATTCACAATTAAAAGTTATAGTCACTGTACATGAACTTTATCTTTTTCCCTTTGTTAACTATTCACTATTAAGTACCAGCATTTCTATAAACCTCAAAACTCAATACAAGAAAAAAAAGTTTATCAAATAAAATTTTTTCAGAAAAGATGTCAATTTTTCCACGATCTGACTTTCGCAAACAATTCTAAGCTTTGCATCCATTTGCAAAAAGTTCCAGAAAGAGCAAGCCAAAGATCTGTCACGGTCATGCAATTCAAATTTGCACAGTATTTACTGAGCAGTAAGTATCTGCTGAGCAATAATATTAAGTAGAAGAGAGTAAGTGGAAGATGCTGTGAGGACTACAAAAATGAGTAAGGTCATCATAATTATCAGATTTCATAATAACATAAAATAACAAATAGCTGAACTATTAAGAGTCTTAAAAAGGGAAATCTTTTCTGAATTGTTTGGCAAATTTACTACTAAGATGATTATGCACTCCTACCTTAACATTTTCTTAATAACTCAGGGTCAAAATTATAACTATTTCTTATTCATTATATTTAATCCACTTTGCCCCAAGAGTCTTCTGAAAATAGTAGAAAAAGGAATGAATAGACATCAGAAGTGGGTTTTGGTATTGCTTCAGAACTTTTAAGAGATGCAATTTAGTCTCTTGTGTGATTCTTCAGGTGTATATCTGTGTTTACATTTCCCTACTTAAAAGTGATACCATTTAATCACTAATTAAGCACTGTGATTCAGTCAACAATGAGTTGTTATCACTGAGTTTGTGTCAGGAATTCGACACATAGTAAATGGTTCTGTATTCTTGATTTTGAATTGTGGCTATTTTCCACCTTTGCTCTAAGGCTGGAAATCTTTGTTGACACTATTAAGGCTTTCTTAGTGACTTTTCGACACTTCTCACTTTTTTCTTCTAAGTAACTGTTAGCTTAGAAGTATCTCCACAATAAAAAGGTATGAAACACTTAAAAGAAGTAAGTAGTACATAATATTTACATTAAGTTGAGTGGCCATCCTTCACTGCCTGATGTGGTCTGTTAATCCCCAACTTAGGTTCTAAAATAGCTAGGGGCGAACAATGAGGTACATGCTAAAAAATTAAGTTCTCTTTTAAATATTAATATTAGAACACTTACATAAAAGAGAAAATCTTTTAGGTTCTCTACATAGTGATTGATTCATTTCTCAAGGAATCAATCAGATACCTAAAGTGTATACTGCAGTGGAAAAGTAGGCAAAGTGAATATGTACTTTTAATTTCCTAATTTTCTGAATTATAATTCTAGGAAGGAAAGATTTTTTTAAACTCACAGAACAGATTATGAAATCTATTACTTTAAAGGCCTAATTAAAAATATGCCATGATAATTAGTTGTTACTGTGTGTCATTAAAGGATCCCTTTATCAGTGTTGCCAATTCTTACACCACAAAAGGGAATCATCCCTTACAACTGTCCACAGCTATGTCACCAACCAATACTACAAATCTTAGAACTTCCTTAAATCAGGTTATAAGTAATCTAGGAAGCCTACAGTTATTCCTACGGACTTTCTCGCCAAGTTTTTCTCAAGCCTTCCCTCAGGTATCCTATTACTCAGTATCAACCAAGACTTCCAGTTCATAACTTGTTTGAATTTATGACATGATGGTATTCTAAGATACACTCAAGAAAATAATGAGACTTCAAAGTAATAAAATCTTAATACAAATACATAAACTTACATAGTACTTAGGATATACTATGTTACACACACAGACATTTCCTGCTCTCTACCTTCAGTTATATTACTGAATTCCATTTTTCTTCAAATATAAATGCAGAACTATCATTTACTAAAGAGAGTATTGCCAAAAGTACTATAAAATTGCATTGTACTGCATTTTAAAAAATCACTAGCTAACACACAGTAATAGAAATATATGCATAAAAAATACATAATATACTACACCAAAATAGTTAGGGTTGCACTTTAAAAATGATTAGAACTTAATTCTCAAAAATCATATTGATTTTCTTAATAACATATTCAGTGAAAAATACATATATATATATATTCATTTAATTCTAACAATAACCCAGGGAGATAGGCAATATTGTTAGCTGCATTTTATAGAGGAACAAACAGCCTACGTCACACAGCTAACAAATGGAAGACCACGGTTTGGACCCAAGAAATAAAATCCAGAGTTTTTGATCTCAGTCACTACACTATACTATCCCTCTCCACTGTCCCATTAATAACCATTTTTGATTCTTAACACTAATTCTATGATAGCACATATATGTTGTTCAACTAAATTAACTAATTACCTAGCCATAACCTGAGGATACAGCCATGATAAACTCTGGGTTCACAAAGAAAAGATTAGCTAGTTCTACATGAATGATTATCATGCAGTTATTTTATATCACATCTTAACCTTTAATATAAATTATTAAATCATAAACTTTATTACTTAAAAATATGATATTCTTACCCTGGACACATCTTATCTCCTTTTTTTTCATGTAAAATAGCACAATCATAGCAAAATACATGCTTGCATGGAATCTGAAGAGAAACATATTACAGTTAAGCATACCAGAAAAATTTAAAAATATTTCCATAAAAAATATCAGTAGGTGAAGTGACCTAGACACAGAAGACACCTGAGAATGGTTGTTAAAACCAACACTTTTTAAGTATTACTTTTATAGAAGTAATCAACCTTTTTTCGCGCAAAGTCCTCTGAGAATGTGATGAAAGCTGGCTGGCCCTTTATCCAATAAATGCGTATATGTACAACTGCTTAGGTGTAAACCCTATTAATTTCACTTCATTCATGCCTCTGGCTGAATAAAAGAGTGAAGATTACACTATGTTTTATCTTATCCTATCCATCATGAAACTATTCCAAAGCAATAAAATAATAAATATTTCCAGCATTTAAGTAGCATTTTTCCCTGGTAGTCTTAATGAACTTCTAAAAATCTAAAAATAAATTAGAAGGGCACAGTAAAATGTTAAATCGTTTTAAACCTCACAGCCCATTAGTAATTTTGCTATATTATCTAGCAACACAATAGTGCACAATCTCTGCTCTGCAGCACCATAGACATATTACTGAATTCAATTGCTTTTTCAAACACAAATGTGAAGCTATCATTTTTTAAAGGAAAAATATGCCCAAAATATTATAAAATCAGTTAGGTTGCAACTTTTAAAAAATGATCACAACTCAATTCTCAGAAACTATAAATATTATTCAGTTTTTTACTAAAAATTGTAACTGAGAAATGAATAACTGATCTTATTATGTTAAATTAAAAAAAAAAGTCCTTGATAAATTAGAATAAATGTAAACTAACATGTCAAACAGTCCAAAAGAATCATTTTCAGAAGTTAGGGTTCTTACTATATATGTCAATAATGTACTAATAGAATTTGTGAAGAACATTCCATTAAATTCGTATTATCGCAAAATTTCTTAAACTCATTTAAATTGTCACCAATTTAGTTAATAAACGTATCTAAGTCCTACTTCATTCTATTTAAATTTAGAAACATAGAATTTAACTTAGTTGTTCTTACCATTCGTCCATAGATTTTAATAGGTAATCCACATTTGTCACAGAAATGAACTGGCGTATCATCTTTTTCACCTAAGATGTTTATCTGTTGAAATATAATTAATATTTTTCTTGTAAGTATTTATAAAAATTGTATCTACAAATTATACAATGAATTGGTATTTTATAAAAGCTACTGTATTAAAACAATTAGAAATAAAGGTGTCAGCATAATCACCTCATATTTCATACCAATAGCTATGCCATCATTAGTAGTTTGCTTCTTTCACAAATAGTGTCAATGTTTACTATTTTATTTAACTTTACTGAAAATTATTTCAACTTATTTTTTGAAATAGGGCATTAATTAATACGTTTGAACTGGAAGATAGCTATAATAAAAGTTCATACCACTCTTTCTATGTCCTACATTGTTCTGATAATTTTTTTTTTTTTTTAGTTATACCTGAAAGTCCCAAAAAAGATGTCCAGGAAATCTTCGCTGATTTCCAAACAATTCACCCCCTTTACAGTCATATCGTTCTTCTTCATTATAATCAAATCCTTCTGAGAAAAGAAAGTGTTAACTATTAACTTTTCAAAGCTCAAATTTCATTTTGGAATTACAAATACACAGCAAAACAGACCTATTCATTGAATGTCCATCTGATGCCTTTCAAAGTTCTTCCAAACAGGACTATTTTAAAACATCAACTATAAGTGATCTTGACATTTTATACCTCATAACTGAGATCAGTGCAACATGGAGATCCATCGTAATTCAACATAGAGGACATAATAGCAGGGCAGAAACAGACTTGATTTCTTAACTCCTATTCTCCTATGCTATCAGACTCACTCTATTGCAAAACTCAATAAGCATGCTTATTGCTCAAATTTTTAAGATACTTATCATTACTTATTCTAGGCTAACTACAAAAGTGGAGTGATTCAAGAAGCTAATTTTTTATAACCAAAAGAATAAAATAAAATCAAAGAATTCTCCAATATTTTCTTCTCATGACTTTCTTTTTCCAACCTTAAGCTAGTACTAATTTTTAAAAACAGTAATATATTCATATTGCCTCCTTTCAGTTAAAACATTTCCTTGGTTAATCAAACAGTAGTAACTACATCATATTTATTACAAGTATCCTCCCCTACTGCATATATCAACAAATGTAAAACAATATGAAGATCAATTTTTCTAACCTAGTTAAAAAGTTGATGGGAATCCTCTCATCTCATACAAAATAACAGAAAACCAGCGCAAGTTTTGGTGGGATTCTAGTAGAATCCAATTACCTAGAGTAAAGCTGAGAAGACAAATCTATCCTTCCAAGGTGCCAGGCTTCTCACGACTCTTTTTGGCCCTAGAACTGGTAAACAGAGTAGCCAAAGCACACAAGTTTTAACTTTACCCATATGGCTAAAGTACATCACCTGTATAAGGACAGATGGGAACACACACACACAACAGACACACATACTGATACAAAAATTTTTTGAAGCTGATACAAATACTTCAATGTACTACTGTCTAATTATTTCCTATACAAATGCAGAGTTCAATAACTGTTTTATAAGTGACATCTAAGTGATGCTAGGCTCTTAAATGGACCATTTAAACCTTATAAAAAGCTAGTGTCATTTAAATCTCAAAATAAGGAAAATAACTTTTTCTTCTTTATCTAAAATGCAGAAAATCATTTAGCAAAACAATAGCCAAGGATTAAGAGCACATGATCATCTTTCATAGTAGTTCAACCTATACACAAATGTGTATATATACATATATATGTGAAATACATACATACATATATATGTATGTATATACATATGTATATGTATACACACATATATACACACACATTTGTATTGCACCCAAAATTTTCAATTAACGTCTAGGGGAAAAAACCAACCAGTCACCATTTTACCCAAAATTAGGTATAACAAAAGTACCTTCAGCCTCAGTTTGCTCTATTAGGAGATCAGAGCACCCTCTAAAAAAAGATGTGAACTAGGGATCAGAGTTGGGGACTGGGTACCTGAGAGGGAACTGAGAAGGGAGATTTTATCTTTTTTACATTGTTTGCATTATTACAAGAATTTATATATTAAAAAAAAAGTCAAAAGGAGGGACTGGAGATTATAGATACTGCAGCAGCAGCTCTAAACTGATATGCTACGATTAGTAACATTGACTTCAAATGTAGTTTAAAATGGGTAGAGAAACTACATTAAAAAAAGAGCCGGGCACTTTCTGGTGGGGCAACGCGTTAGGACACAGCACTGTTAGTTAGCTGTAGCAGCTTCAATGAGAGTTCAATCCCTCGCCCCGAAGTGACCCACATGGCCTGCAGACCTCTCCTGATCCGCCCGCTGCTCCCCTCAGCAGTGGACTTCATCAGCCTGCCTGTTCTGCTCCCCACTCTGTCTCTGGTGAAGCCTTTCACTGCCCCTATACCTCTGGCTTGTATCCCAGGTTCTGTATGAACAAATAAATAAAATTTAAAAAAAAATAAAAGCCATAAAACAAGGTATACTTAAAACAATCTGATTCTATAAGAAACAGAGACAAAGCAGGAATAGAATAGAAATAGACAAAAATACTTGCAAACTTTAATATATGGTAATGGCAGGACAGATTATTCAAAGACTGGGAAAAACAGCTAGCTGTTTTGGAAATAAAAGTCTGACTCCGTTTCTTTAATAAAAATAACCAAGTACCTATCCACAAATGTTCCAAAGTGGGCAAAAACATACTTTTTCTGAAAAGGCCAAACAGGTGAGTATTTTAGGCTATGTAGGCCATATGCTCTCTCGGTTACCCAACTGTCACATTTATAGCATGGAAGCAGTCCTAAATAGTATTTAAAGGTATGGACATAACTGTGTTCCAATGAAACTTTATTGACAAAATTAAAGCTGGAATTGGCCTATCGTTCATCATTTGGGGATCCTGTATTAAAGGTTAAGATGGAAGTACTGTTTTATATTCAGATAATAGGGTAAAAATCTTTCTAAGAATGCCATAAAATCCAGAAGTCATAACAGAACAGACTACATATGTGACCGCACAAAATCAAGTTTCTCCAAAAAAAAAAAAAAAGTATATATAGAATTCAAAAGATAAAACAGAAACATGCAAGATATATAACAAATGACAAATTTTATTAATTTACAAAGAGCTTTTAGAAATCATGAAAAAGACAACTAAATAGAAAAGTGGGGAAATGACATAAAAAGGGTGATCCTAGGACAAAGAAACAGCCAATATTATTAAAAGGTATACAATCCACTCACAACTGAAGAAATTTACATCAAAACAATAATTTTGAAAAGTATCAATATGGATATGTGGAAGTATAAACTGATGTACTTTTTAAAAATAGCCATTTGACAATACCTGTCAAATTCATGCAAAATTTAAAATCTCCAGAGTACACACACTTAAGCAGTATGTACAAGGATATGTACTGCAACACTGTTTTTAATCCACAAAACTGTTATAGTATATCCATAAATGAAATACCCAAGTCTATTTTTTTTAATGGGGTAGATCTTACATACTAATAAGGCAAAAATCTTGACCTCAAATTACATAAAAAAGGGCAACTATACATTTTAAAAGTAACTTTAATTATGATGTAGTAAGAGATTATCTACAGGAGGAAGAAATACTAAGCCAAAATTCTCTAACTGGAAAGAAAAGTACAGCTTGCCAAAAGGGGAGAGTACGAAAGACTTTTTTTTTTAAGTAGCTACAAGTAAGTAAGATCACATGGACTATTTGGTGGAGTCAGATACCACAGAAAGACTTTTGGACCCATTTGTTTAAACAAATTACCTTCATCACCAGGTGGAGCCTTTGCAGGCATCCTGTTTATAGTCCTTGGAGTTCGAGGTGCAGCTTTGGCTTTGTTCCCTTGTTTGGAGATGAGCTTTATAGGAATTCGTCTTCGAACATCAAGACCACCCAATGATCCTGAACTATTAGTGCCTTGTAACTCATTGTCTGTTTTACAATAAAAAAATTAATTTTAGTTTTTATTTGAAGGTTTGCCACAGGTATTAGAGCAACATAAATGGGTTTTCTTCTTAAATATTATTTTTATATAAGTTTACGCACTAATTTCCTTGATTTTGGATAAACCTTTAAATTGATCAATGCTCCTGAGATATGAACATTTGCAAAAGTTGACAAAAGTTATAGAACCTCTGTAAAAAAAAGTGGGTAATAAAATTTTCCATACAATTCAATTCCAAAGGCGTTTAAAGAACTGTATAAGCTTTCATAAATCTAAGATAAGACCCTAGCTTGAATTAATTACATATTTTGAAAAAGTAGAGTATGGGGGGAGGGGAAAAAAGAACTCTATCCATCAACATGCAAAACAAGCACTAGATAAACTTTGTAAACTGAATCTGCAACAGTTTAATTAAAAAAATACAACTAGAAACAAAACTAACATTGACAATGACAAAATTAAATAATGCATTTGAAAATGAAGTCAGTTTTAAAGGAGATTCTTCCTTGCACTGTAACAGAAAACTTAAGAGGGATGCAAGGTTTCCCTAACTCAAATAGCTCTAAACAACCTAAACTTTCTAAATCCTGCTTGTTATTAGCTAAGAAATAAATTAATTCAAGTCCAGTGACTAATGGGAGGACTATTTAACAGAAATGATTCCATTTAAAGCTTTAAAGTCACCTTGCTTTCAAAGCAAGGATTATAATATGCAAAGATTACAATATTGAAATTATTCACTTTTTCTACTAAAGACAAAGAAAAGGAAATGTCCTAACAAAGGAAATGCAGATATCTTAAAACAGTAACGTTTTAAACATGATAAATTAAAGAACAAGGCTGAAAAACTGCCTCCTCAGACCACAGTTCAGTGGAAATAGCAAAACTGTCTAATTAAATTCAGTGAAGTCAAATTTTGTAGTAACTAGACCTAATGACTCCCAAGGTTTCTAGGCTCACACACAAGTTCAAGTCACACTGATCTGCACTCTTTTTGAGTAATAATACAGAGAACAAAAGTCAAGATAAGTCCTTAACAACTAAATTCATTTCGATTTACTTTCTATTTTTACTTTCATAAAAACTAGTCCTCAAAAAAAGTTTCATGGAAAAGGAATTACAAAAGCTAAAATAATGAGTTAAACCCAACATGACCAATTTTCAACACTTGGCTGACGTAGTAACAGGATAAATAATGTAGTTCATCTGCTTTCAGTTTAGTTACTTACCTATGCAAACATACCTAACAATCAAGACACAGATGACAGGGTAACTTTTTTTCTCAAAAGGTATTTCTGATTTTCCAATGAACCAAAAAAGGCAGGGCAGTCAATGTTGTCTTTTCAGGTATTAAAGGGAAGTGTGACAGTTTTACCTTGGTGAATGATCATACTAGCACTTCTCTGCTACAAGTTTTTTTCATAATACCTTGAACCCTTCAAGTCACTACTATTCCCTACACAGCCTACTACCATCACTTTCAAGAATCAGCGGTCTGCCTTAGAGACTCGAATCACATAAAGTATAGCATTAAGTAGTGACATCGTTCTGGGTTTGTCTTTAGGGTTTTTTGGTTTGTTTTCCTCCTAAATATGCAAAATCAGTACATACAGTACAATTTCCTTTTGACTATGCCAAACAAAAACAAAGTCCAAACAACGTAAGTCCTTGGATTTTACAAAGAAAATGAGAACTAAGGATAACAGATAATTTAAGGTGAATCCACTTTAAAAAAGGAAGAACACTTTCACATTACATAGTTTAAAAGACTTATTTACAATCGTATCTTGAGGTAACCAAGATATATTTTACAAAATTTAAATTGCCCTATGGTGATGGCATATGGGTGATTGTGTGATGGGAAACCCACGGGGATTACAACTGTGATGTTTGGAAAAGGCACAAAACGATGTAAAAATAAACGTATTATTTTTAAGAAATTTTAAGTTACGATTAACAATTAGAATGACAAAAAAAAATCTGGGAATTTTCTGGGGTGATTTTTTTCAAGCAAAATTCTATTAGAGCACCACATGGCAGTCTTCATTTTGTTTGACTTTTTCAATCTTACATTTCTACTTAATAACCAAGAGTTCCATTGATTTCCCCACGGGCTGCTCTTAATCCCTTGATATTCTTCTGAATATATTTCATTCTTCTGAAATGCCTATTCTGTCTTAAGACCTGTCCTTCCATTTACTGATTGCCTGGCCTTTCCTAACTTGCCAGTGATTTTATTTGTGACTGAAATAGTTACCAAATTCACATTTGTGAATTTCAGGAAAATCTGTATCTTTTGCCAGGTCTGTCATCATAATCAACATAAAGCATTTGGTATCTTTTCATGATAGGAACATCAAGGATACTGACTTACAATGAAGTTTAAACAGAAAAGAGGCTAGCAATCAAGAGAAAGGATATCTGACTAGAAACTTTTTAAGTGGTCAGCTCATTCATGGATATTTTCATGTGAAGATGACTCTTATTTTTTAAGATAACTTTAACTAAGAGAAATGAATACTTAAAATACACACCCACTTACTTTAGATAACATAATATCCTCTAAACTATGGAAAAGGCTTGACTCCCAACTCCAAATAGGTTTCTATGATTAATATTTTGCAAACATTAAAGGTCTGCTATTCTAACATGAAGATCCCAGAGTCAATTCTATAAAACTTCCAAACAACAGCCTGGTTCTAGGTTCTCCTTTATATTCACATTCTGTAAGTGATTTCACTCACCCTCATGCTTTAAAGTTAAGGGTACTAAGTCCCTGATACACTTTCAGAGCAGAACTTTCCTTTGATCTGCACCTGATTTTTATCTCCCCTGGTACATCTCTCAACATACATTTCATACTGCAGAGTACAAAATCTTGTACCTAAATTCCTGTCTCACTGCTATCCCTTTAAAAAAAGTCCTTTTTCTCCCCATTTTCCCCTGCTCATACTAGCACTACTGTACATATTAGAAACCCAGGTCTCTTTCCTTTCTCTTGCATACCTCCAAACCAATCCATTAGTACCTGTATGAGATCGAGCCCCAAAATTCTTATCTTCCCACTCTCTTTTTCACTAAGCCACACCTCCCTTCTGGTTCTACAACCATCCCCTAAATTGTCTGTTTTCTATTACTCTAGACTCCCCCTCTTACACCATTCTTCATAGAAGTTCCTATATATTTTAGAAGAGATTATCCTTCTCGGCTGTTGAATATTGGACTTAAAATTCAAATCTTTACCACGGCCTTGAGTCTTGCAGGACCTGTTTCCTGCCTTCCTTTCCAATCTCCTCTTTGGGCTCTTAGTAGCTAACCAAGCTGCAGCCAACTAACCTTATCTATTTTCTTACCTCGTTTTTGTATTTGCTGGAAATGCTTTCCCCATTTATTCCATGGCTAGATTCTCATCCTCCATCAGATCTGAGCTTGTAAGCTACCTTTCCCAAAAAACATTTCCTGATCGGTCTAATGGCTCCTATGCGTCTTTACCAAACCACTTATCATAATCTGTAAACCTTTAGGGATTAAAAATTTCGTTTATTGTTTCTTCCCCAATAGGACAAAACTTCCACATGCATGGGAACTCAATACGTCTTGTTTTTCCATTCCATCTTTTGCAAACCATTTTTGGCTTCCCTCTAACAGAACTACAGGTATCTGAACTATGCAATATATAATTATATTACTACGTAGAAATTTGATGACTGAGGACATCTCAGTACTTAAGAAAGAGCCTTCTTCCTCCACTTGTGATATGGTTGATATAACTGCGGAGCACTAACTTAAAGCGCAGTCATTCAATATTCGAAAACCACAAGGAAGCAAAGATGAAACACACAACAAAGAGTGGAGACACTTTTATGTGAAGAATGAGGATGTCTTGGTTTTAAGCTCTCCGTTGTAAATGTCCCCAAATGATGAATAAGGACCACGGCCGAAACGCGCAATATGTAGGGCTTAGGCTGCCCCGCGCATAATTCCAAAAACCACATTCCACTCCATTCTCTCACTTCTAGTCCCTATAGGACCAGAAAAGAACGAACGACAAGAGATGACCACCGCAGCACCCGCCCAAAGCTGACTGAGGCAGCAGGAAGTCTCCAACCCACTCTCGCCCAACCACTGCCGGCGTAATGAGGCTTCCCCGATTCCGAGGCTGGGATCTCTACCCGCCCGGTCCTCCTAACGCAGGGCTGAGCTGGGGGTGAGAGGGAACAGAGTCGGCGCTCTCTCCTCCCCACACGACGGGCGCCGCCGGCAGTCCCAGTGCCGAGCTCAGCAGAACCAGAAAAGAAGCGGCTGTTGCCGGCACCGAGACTGTAGGTACCACACCGGAGGCTAGGCCGGGGAGCAGTAGGCCCTCGCCGCACCGGGAGAGATCAGTGAGATTCCTTTCTTTCCGCCATACCCCACTGCTGTAGGGCGAGCGTAACCCCTCTATGCCCGCCGGGCGACCAGTCCCTGGCCGGCCAAGGGGGCATGGAACAGGGACCCCCACTGCCTCCGCCTCCTTACCAGTGTGATCCATGATTCTGCTCGCAGGGCACAGTGGGAGCGGAAGTCAACCGCTCCGGAGTCGCTCGAAGCGCGTGCGCGCTCCCTTCCGGAGCCCAGGAGGCGGAAGTACGACCGGGTTGCCCGGACTGTGGCCTCCGAGGACTCTCTTCTCTCCCGGCCACTGCCCAACTCCGATGAAGAAGTCAGGCATAGTTCGGGCAGGAAAGATAGAGCGAGTACGCGAAATGCTTCGACGTCGAGCTTGCTAAGCTGCTCGTGTGCTTCAAGAGAAAGTTTTTAACTGTGGAAAGGAGCCCGACGGGAACGGGGTAGGGGAGCGGTGGGAGCCGGAGAATAAGCTTGCAGCGGGGAAGGCGCCCTCCCGCCCCCTCGGAGCGTTGCCTTCTGGGACTCGTAGTGCGCCAGGACTCTAAGGCGGCCAGGCCCACTGCGCAAGCTCGGCCGTTGGATGGCCCCACCCCGACGGGCGGAGTAACGGTTTGGAATCCCCCCTGAGCCCGCAAGTGTCTGTCTCCACCCGGTCTAGGGAAAGTGTAAACACGCGCGCTCCGGAAGGCGTCCTCCTGTGGGAGGTTACCCAGGGGATGGGTGAGCTGTGTGGAGCTCCCAGCAGGGGAGAAAGGCTCTGTTGCTTTGTCTAAATTTTGCTTTGTCGTGACGAACTACATAGACCCACGCAGAGCAGACTTGGTAGATGTCCCCCCTGCTTGCCTCGTCTCCCGTCCCCCGTCCCCTCCTCTTAAGTTTCTAACAGTTCGAGAGACATTTATAATGCTGGATTCCACTCATTTTCGCAAGGAAACGCTGGTGGCGCTAGGACCCCCTACATCACCTCTGCTAAGGACAGGGCAGTCGCGGCGCAGCTGCCTGTTTTTGGGGGGAGGGGGCACTCGGCGATACTGGGCAGAGTGGAGCTGAAAGAGAGGGGTGGACTCGGACTCAGGTGGAGAGAGCGTTAGGCTGGCCGGAGGGGAGAGGTTAAAAAGGAAAGGCCCAGAATGATGAAGAGAGAGTTACCACAACAGGCAGTATCTAGTTCCAGTTCTTGGTCCCAGGGGTTTGTGGTTGCTGCTGCCTTCATCTTCCTCAGCCAGACAAAAAAGAAAGTGCCAGAGGCTGGTGATTGCTGGGGACCTTCAGTGCAGTCTTCACCTCGCGGACTTGGCTCATTTGTGTCCACTCCCTTCTCCAACCTTTACTCTTGATGCTCTCGGATGAGTCGAAAGGAACACAATTAGTGGAAAACACAAGCTTGGGAGTCAAGGGATTTGGGTTCTATTCTTGTCGTCCCATGGTGACGACATCATTACCTTGAGTTATTCACGCTTTCAGTGCCAGAGTTCCTAGATCAACAAGAGATTATACTGACCCCTTGTAAAAAATGTTTTCAGGGTACTGAGTTCTAAATAAAGTATGTGTACAATGTGGTGTGTCTATATCGTTACGGAGTAACAGCTTTCGATAATGCAGTCATCAGTGCTGTAAGTGTTCGGTGTTATTTGGCTAATGTTTTACTGGGATCTTTTTTTAAAAGCTTCCCCATTATATCTGCAGCCTTATAAACAGTTTCCTGGGTTCATTCATAACTAAGGACATTAGTGAGTCAAAGTTACCACTTGTGTTAAGATGTAAAGCTCAGTATTCCTAAGTGGTTTTCAAGATGTTTTCAATTGCTGGCACTGTGTTTGTTTTGGAGGCTGGTGTCTTGCCTCCCTTACCTCCCTGGTTTTCTAAATACATTGCTAGTAAATATAGTCATGAGGCATTTTCACCCGCTTGGGTACAAAAGAAGCTAGTTTTCTCCTAGCAAGTTTTCTTTTTATCCCTCCCCCCATATTTAGCCTGTGAGCTACATTCAAATTGATGCAAACCAAGGATCAAAATAATAAGTATCTGTTGAGAAACAGTAAAAAAGAGTCTTCAAACTGTAATTTGCAATGTGTGTAAGTCAGATTTGAACATTTTTTTATAACAGTTAATTTTTATATCATTTTGTACATTTTTTTTCCTATATCAATTGTAATCCCCGCAGATTTGAACAATTTTTTATGGTGGCACATTCAATTATGAAGCTATATTGAAGGAACAATCTTAAGACTGCCTCTTGAAAAAATATTAGATAAATGTTAGCATTCACATCTTTTGCTTTTGGGAATTATGTTAGTATACGTGCTTTATATCCACTTCCCCCACAATTATAGCTTTGTTCCTTCACCAGTTCAGTCTAACAAATTATCTCCTTGGATAAATGAAACTACATATGGATTTGTATTCTATTACTGCTCTCTGGTATTTTGTATTGGTAACCTGTTTATTGTAAGCAGCCACAGTTTCTTTATTGAAAGTTCACATACAGAAGCCTCCCTGGTAGCATTAGAGGTTAAGGTTTAGCACTATGAAGCTCTCCGCAGCTACTGCAGCATGAGTTCCATCCTTGGCCAGGAAGCAAGAGCTGACTGACCCCCATGGCGCAGCAAGACCTCTCCTGACCCGCCCGCTGCTCCCCTCAGCAGTGTACTTCGACGATCTGCCTGTTCTGCTCCCAGCTCTGTTTCTAGTGAATCCTCTCACCCTTTCCCCATACACACACCTCTTACTATGTATGCATAAATAAATAAAATAAATCTTTTTTAAAAGTTCACATTCAGATTTATAACATGATACTGTCCTAAGGTTTATAAAATGAAAGGTCGTATGAAAGTGGGCAATCTTAAGCACTGAGATTCCATATTTTCATCTTACTGAGAGACATCTGCTAGCCTTTGGATACAACCTAATGTTATTCAAGATATTTGATAGTTTTTCATTTACACTGTGTTATGAGGAAAACAGAATGGATATTGTAGATCTTATTTCAGATAAGGTGCAGGTAGTAACCTTCATCTCATATTCTTACAACTGTATCACAGGGTCCTAACTAAGAGTGCAAAAAGTAAGAATTTCATAAAATATGGTCCCTGCTTCAAAAGCCATACAGGCTAGCATATATAGAAATAATTAGAGAGGCCTATATTTAAGTTTTAAGTGTTTAGAGAGAATGAAGTGCTAAACCTACATTCAGAGAAAATAATGAGCAATTATTTTATGATAGCGATTTTATGGAGGGAAGGATTTAAGCCAAGGCCTGGTGGATGGGTATTATGTGGAGAGAAGAGTAGTGAAAAGCATATGAAATAGGAAAGAGCAAGGGCATAGAGGTGAGAATTGTTAATGCTTTGTTAATGCTTCTATACAGGACAGGGATCAGCTTGACTTGTTTTGACTCATGTTTGGGAGTGCTACAAAAATTAAATATAGAGAGCCTTAGAAAAGTAAGATCGGCCCTCCCTGATGGCACAGCGGGTTAAAGCGCAGCAGGAAGAAGCTAAAGCCACCTAAGCATAAGTTTGATCCCCACCCCAGAGGTGACCCACATGGCACGGCAGACCTCTCCTGACCCGCCCGCTGCTCCCCTCAGCAGTGTACTTTGTCAGT